GCCTCCAGCCGCCCCTCCAGTTCATCCTGCCGTGCCACGGTTCTCCGCTCGCTGTCTTGGGCGACCTGCTGGAAAGGGGCTATACAAGGTTTAGGAACCCTACTATAAGGCCCTATATCAAGGATTTTTTGAGCTCCTTTTCTATGTAGCCCGAAGGTCTGTAAGAGGCTAAGGCAGCCAGGACAGCGAGACACTTTAGTCCTGGTCAAACACATCCACCCACGATTAGGGTTTAGGGTTCTAAACCCTTTTGGGCCCTGTATCAAGATTTGCGAATAAAAACGAGGGTTTGCAAGGCTATGAGGTTGAGAGAGTTTTCGACAGCTTTTGTGAGGTCTTTAGAAAAGACGTAAACGGTTGTGTAAAAGGTTAAAAATTTTAAAGGAGGATTTGGAAGCACCTTTTTCCCGATTTTCTGCTGAGCAGGCGACAGGGGTTTGGGGCTCAGCTTAGGGATTATGAGTTTCAGGGCATGAGGCGTTTGGCGGTTTAGGGGTTTTAGGGTTGCAGGATGGGGGGTTACGGTCGTAGGGATTTAGAGCCTTGGGGTTTTAGAGAGTAGGGGTTTTGCTGTTTGTTGGGAATGTTGAAGAGTTTAGCACTTAGGGCTGTGAAGGCTTTGGATAAGGTTTGCTGCTCAGAGGCGACAGGTGCACCGCTCCATTCTGGGTGTCTAGAACTTGTGTCGCCAAGAAGATGTATACTGTACATAGACGAAACTTCAACAGAACCAGGGCTTTAAACAACCGGCTGAATCTTCTCAACCTCCACTGTAAACAAGAATAAACCTGCTCCGAAAACACAACACAAGAGGCCTTAGCCCCGAATGTGAAGGTCTGAGTTCCCAGCCATAATATTTCTTTACAGCCCCTACAAGAAAGCATTCCGCAATATACCACGTCTAATGTTCACGGACGCTCGCTAGAACCCTGAACCGTTTCGTGGCCGGCGCCTTCTCGGCTTCTCGGCGAAACAGCTTGGCCTGGCTTGTTGTGTCGAGTTTATCAAGGCCGTTTACGGGATTTCTTCGGAGTTTTATCGACGTTGGCACTTCATAACGGTCTGAGGATTGGGTTTTGAGGATTTCGCTACAAGCCAAGCCCCTGCGTTGTCCTCCTCCTTCTGGGACTCTGCTCCACGCTGCAGCTTGGATCGTAGCTCCTGCACGTGTGCGACACAAGAACCGCTAACAACTGGAAACTGGAAATCTCTATCAGGGTTCATGGAGGGGTTCTGAAGGATCGAGATGAGTCCTGTACGGGTGCATATGTAAAGCCTGATTCATACCTGCCCTGTTTTTCGTCGAGGATAGCAAACGCGAGCATCCCCATCAGAGGTCCAGACACAGTTCGTGCGTCAGGGTATGCTGTACCACCTGCGAACATGTAGGTTATGGTGTTGAGGCAGGGTTTGGGGTGCCAGGTTAAGGTTTGAATGGAGAACCAAAACCCCTAGCGCCCTACAGACCCTAAACCATACAAGCCCAAAGGCCCTGCGCTGTTAGAGGAACGCTCTGCGACCTCCGAATTAGTTTGCAGCCTGGGCGTTCCGGTTCAGTCTTATCTTGGCCACAATAAGCCGAAGGCTTTGTTTTGGATATGGGGTCAGACTTTCACGTCTGGGATCACCAGTTCAGGTTTGCATTAGCGCTTCTTGGGGAGTTCAGGGATGGGCGTGTGAATGACTTCAAGGCCCTGATCCTCTGCGTTGCCTTTGGACGGAGCCCGGCAGAGAGGCCCACAGTCAGCTCAAATTGTCTAGGCACTTTCACACATGCTATGCCCTCCATATGCCCTCCAGTCTCAACCAAAGTCCGGGGTCAGGGCTTGGGGCTTGTCGATTGGTTTAAACTTTGCCATGATGCGAAGCGTTGCTTCCACTGCGACTTAGGGAATAAGGTGGCTATTGATAGGATGAAATATGCCCCCATCACTGTGGCGAAGTCGAATGTAGAGTCCGATAAATGGACTTCGGTGATCTTCACCTCTTACATGAGGATCCCTGAGCGAAAAGCCTTGTTAAGCGAGGGATTGGTGTAGAGGTTCCGGTGCTTCATTCTGAGCCGGCAAACCCTTAGTTAAACCCTGTCTTATCTGAAACCCTCAATCCTGAAACCCTAAACACTTAATACACTAGCCTTAACAATCAGAAGAGGGTTTTGGGGCCCACTATACTGTAGTTATAATAAGGAACCCCAAAATAGTGTTGGTAATTCTTAAGGCCTCTATATTAAACTGTAAACGCTCGGCTCTTTGGGACTCCACTGACATGCGGCTCGCAAGAAGAGTCCTCGGCAAGCTCAGCGGATCTGTGCTCAAATGCCTGCGCCTGTCCAAATCAGAAGAAAGTTGCTTGCAAGTGGCATTGCAACTGCGACTCCCGGCCAGTCCACACATGGAAGAGATCTTAGATACAAGAACACATACTTCAATGACTACCACGACATGCCCGAGTTCGAGCACGGAGCCCTATGGGCCTCTCGTAGCTGTGCGCTTGACTAAACGGTCTGAGTCTACGTGTCAGCGAGATGATGTAGCTTCTGCATACAATCTACAACAAAAGGTCACAACAAAACAAAGGACCTATCCACTCCTTTGCGTTTGCTGCATTCCTTGCCGAGTGGACAATGCGCCCGAGCATACCACAATTTCGCATGTTAATCCCTTCCCCCTAACATAAAAACCCTTCAATACATTAGGCGGGAGCAAGGATTGTATAAGTTTCAATAGAGCCAAGACTACAGTAGTACCAGACCGAAAGGACCAGGACTTTGTGGGTTTAGGGGTTTAGGGCTCTGGGTTTAGGGCTTAGGGATTTAGGGCTTGTAGGGGTTAGAGCTTTAGGTCGTGCTAAGCGAAAGGACCGAAACTTAAGTGTTTAGAGCCCAAAACTCCGCCCTAATATTAAAACCGGGGTCGGAAATCTGGTTTCAAAATTAACTAGGGGAGGGGGGAAGGGATCAACTTTAACGATTCTTGATCGCGCACGCAACTTCAACAGCCTGAACCCTCATCATCACTGCACTAAGAACTCCAACCCAGCACGGTTTGAGCCCCCACCTGTTGCGCGACGTCCTTCTGCAATGCTCCCAGTTGCTCGTTGAGGTCTCGGAGCAGCCGGGCATCTGAGAGCGCTCAGGGGGTCAGGGGGGGTCAGGGAGTCCCGGGTTCAAAAGACGCCTCCAAAGCAGCCAGGCGTGTGTGCTTAGGGCCTAGGGTTTCGGGTTTGAAGCCCCGCACCTGAGGTCCGTCTTAACGTGGAACCCATGCAGACGCTACACGGGATCCTATCGTTACACATGTACAGCTATGTGATAATAACTGCATTGTAACGTAATGTACAGTTTATGCAAACGCAATGTAATGCAACCTACTCGAAGGTAGTGCAATGCATTGCAACGAATTGCAACACAACGCAACGCAATGCAATGCAGAGTAAAGCAGTGTAAGGCAGTGTCATGTACGGGTGTGAATGTATGTGTTATGAAAGCATCTGTGTATATGCGCCTCACCATTCATATGTATACGTCTTGTACGCATTATGCAACGATGCAGGATGATACGTAGCATTGTTTTCGCTCCTGTAGAAGGACTATGACAACCATCGAGATCTTAGATCCCATCATGAACCTCAACCCCCTAAATCCCAAACCTCTCCAACCCCACGAAGGGCTGCCGGCCTGCTGCTGCATCTTTTTCTGACCCTGCCAGTGCCATGAACTTCAGAAGACGCACGTTTAGGTTTAATATGGCTTCTCTGGGACTGGGCTTCTAGTGGAAGCTTAGGTGGGATCTTGCGCTTGTTATGGGGTCAGGAGATATAGTAACTCTCTGTCCACACTGCTTCGAAGACGCGATAACATGTGGCTTTTAGGGCATGTGTGCAGCGGTTTCGAGTACAGCGACCCTGTCCTCAAAACTTGACGCTGCGGCTCCAAGCCCTGGCTAACGGTGCCTGAGGCTGACAAATCTGGGTCAGCAGCCTTAACCTCAGCCCACTAGATACGAAGTGGTTGATTACGTCACGGAACCAGAAGCACACAGCTGAATCGCCATGGGGCTCTTTGCGGGTGCGCGGGTTCCTCTGGTGATGTTTAGGATGCAAACAGGGCTGTGCTCAAAGGATTATGCGACTTACTACATCACGTCCTATATCAACAGCCCGAGAACCCGAAAGCCCCTGCGGTCCTCATAAAACCACAAGCAAGCAGCTGCCAGAATCGGTTCGAACGCATCGTGCTTGGAAGGAAAAGTTCTTTCTATGGCTCCGTGAAATCGCCAGTGCCATATTCTCTACTCTAATCTTCTCTACCGTGCTGCATGAGTTCATAGGCGGCCTCCATCTCCCTGCTTCAGGATGCCGGCGTCCTTTAGAGCAGCATCCACGTAGCGAGAGAGGCGGTCGGCTCGGTCAGCGTTGACCTCAAAACTATGTAAACCTTCAACCAAAAGCCATGGACCCTAAACCAGGGGCTTTATACGGGACCAAGACAGAAGATATCTTCTGCTGGTTCTGGCCTAGAAAGCCTGTAGGAAAGCCTTCTTTTCCAAGGCTCTGCAGAAACTCCTCTGACACGTTGCTGCTGATACGAATGGAACTTGTAGCTCGCTCCGGAGACAGGGGTTATCACATAAATCTAAAGTAAAATCCAATTATAGGGTACTTATATCCGTACTTACTAAGTTCCATGATCCTCTAAGTGAGACTGCGAAGATGAAGCGCAGCTCTTTCTTGGGCTGTTGGTAGAAGAGTAGAAGCCAGAAAGTTGGGACGTTAGCTTCCCGACAGTATAAGAAATCCTAACCGTAATCATCTTTAGACCATGTTCCAACTTTTAAGGGTTCACTGTAATTAGACTACACACACGGCTCGAATCAGAACATTAGGATTTGACGGGACGGCCGCAACATCACCAAGAGTTATTGCGTGACTCCGTCTTGTTCTGGCCGCTGTAGCTCCAAGACTTCTTCCACTCGTTGCTGCTCCCTGCATGCTGCTGTTCAATGGCGCCAACCATCATGGTCTTTGTGATCCCATGTCCACTTCTCTCCCTGGCCTTTCCACGAAAAGCTGGACTCTTGGCTGTTCCCTGCATGCTGGTGCTGTTCACAGCACCAACCACGGTCTTTCTGATCCCACACCCACTTGTCATTTTGGCCTTTCAAAGAAGAGCTGGACCGACTCCCCTGGTCGCCTTCGCGGTCACAGCCATTCCAGTCTCTGTTAGTGGCCGTCCAGGGCTTGTGGCCTTCATCTGTGTGGGAAGTGCTCACAGGGCTTCGCCAATCCTGCCATTCGCTTCCCACCGGCACGCAGAAGGTGCCAGTGCGGCTCCTATTGAAAACCCAACCCTTATCACGTGCAAGCTTGAGGAAGACGGTGCCCTGTCTGCCCGGCCATTCCTCGATCACATCGAAAACTTCTCCAAAGCTCAGGAAGCCCACCACTCCCTTTCGCTGCATTATACGCTCGCTCCTGATGTCCATGCCGGGGTGCCACACCGCACCTCCAGTGCGTGGGCTTGGGGCCATGGTCATCCTCAGGAGCTTCCTGCACCTGTGACAAGGCTTCAACTTCTCCCATTTCCTCGGCCTTGGCCCCAACCCGGGCATACAGATGCTTCAGGAGCGCCTTGGTAGTGGCCCTTCGGCTTGGCCTCATCTCTTCGGCGGAACCCGAAATGGGAGAGTCACTCGGAGAGTCCACCATATTATTCGGGGATGGCGGTGTACGCGTCTCCGTCTCGCTCACCAATAGCTGCCTCAGTCCCTGAAGCTCTGCCTCCACGGCTTCCACCCGCTGCGTCTGGGCAGCCAGCTGTCCGTGGAGCTCTGTCACCTGGTTTCCCTGCTGCTCATGTTCCTGGACCATGGCGACCACTTGATCACGAAGCTCGTCGAACATGGCCGCCACTCTCTGCACCAACATTGTGGCGCGGAGCGGTATGGACTTGTGCCTCGCGACACACCTCTGGCAAAAACCTTGTCAGCCAAAAGGCTTCTTCAGGCACGTGCGTCAGCCTTCAAGCATCAAGGCACCCTACCCTTGTAATGAGATCCGTGGTATGTCCGACTCATCAGCCCGACGCTGCAAGATCTTCTTCCCGAGCCTCCTCAAGGCGGGTAGTCGAAATCTACCGTTCAAGTGCTTCTACACGTACACTGCAATATACCCCCAAAAGATGTTTCGAATCATTGGGTATGTTGGCTCGTAGGATTTTCGACGGCCGTTCGGAAGGCTTCAGGTCTGTGGCCCTCAAATGGCCTGGGCGCGTGGGAGATTCTGAAAACAGCGGCCCCTATCACAAACCCCAAGCAATCGAATCCTTAAAACGAGGGCCTCCAAAAAGAACCCCCAATAACGTTCAGAGCCCTTGACAGCATCTGGGAGTCCCTGGAGTAGTTGTGAGAAGGATGCCTCAAGCCTCAATCCGCTTCAGAATTCTCCCTTCCACCGAGATGCCCAACACCAGGAAAGCCAACACAACACCCAAAGGCACCCTACACTCCAAAACACCAAGCTCCAACACACCAAATACAGATTCCTCCCTATGAAAGCCATAATCAACAACACGAACCCTTGTATACTATACAGTATCCGGGGGCCCCACAAGGCCACACAAAGCCTCTTCTGAACCTTGAAGCCAAGACCCCTGTGCAGGGACCCGACGCGTCGGACGCGCTCCACGTCAATAGCGACAGCCTCGGCCTGCAGCAAAAACTTTACAAGCATTGTTACGATGAGGGTTCCTTTTAAGATCTATTCGGGTTCCGATAAGCATAAGGATTCTTGTACAGGTTCTGGAGGTTGTGATGGGGGTTTAGGAAAATGAACTTACTGGGTCTGCTATTTTGGGGGTCGACATACGTATACTGAGCCCTAACAGGGATATTTCAGGAAGCGTTGATTCCATGTTTACTTACAGAAGGCTGAGAGATTGCTGTTGGGGCTTGGTTTGGGAGAATTAAACCCTCAACTCCTGGAGCCCTGGACATCTGCTACTTTTCTGGCCATGCCTCCGGCTGTTGCCTCTCTGTTCAAGGCTTAGGTTCACTGCTTAATAAGATCGGCTATGGACTATGGATGTTCAACCTTTAGGTGAGTGCCGTTAGTCCGACTGCAAAGGTTGGAAGTACAAGTGGGAATTTCGAAGTATCGGGACCCTAATGTATACCCTGAACAGAAAGATCCCTGCATGAGGACCCAAAAACAATGTTCCCCTACAAGCAAGTTAGAGAACCCTCTGTAGCATCCTATACAGCCGTATAAACCACAATTGAGCCCTTCTATCACCCACCATCGGGTCTGGACCATCGAAGCCCCGACACTAAACAGGTAAGTGGTAGCCACACACCAAGGCCTGCTTTTTGAGCAAGCTCTGGAGCTCGCTCTTCGTTGTGCTCATCGCCTGCTTCGTAGCCTGCAGGCACCATGCAGCCTGTTTGGGGTTGGGGTTTCGGGCTTATGGTTTCGCCTGAAGTTGCTGCAACTCGCCCAAGGATGTTGCTGCAGCTGCTGATGATGATGATGACGATGTTCTAGTGTGTGAACATGAACGCAACAACAACAAGCAAGACGTGTGTAGCCAAAAGCAATGGCTTTGCGATGCGAAAACATGCGACAACTTTCAGTTCTCCGGAAGCTGCGTCTACGCCAGATTAATGAGGGCTGACAAAATACCGGACCCGAACACAGACCTTGAATAATAGGAGCTAATAGGATGCTTGCAGGAAGGACCCCGACATTGTGCGGAGACTCCCTATCTTCATCGTGCATCGCGGTGCCGTGCAAGGAAACCTACCCCACGGACCTATAGATTTGGGAACGGGGTTATGCTGCCTTTCTGTTGCTTTAGGGCACATGACTTAGGGCCGCAGGAAGATGCCTCTGCAATCTCATCGCAGAGCCTTTTCTCGTCCTGTCGGGATCTGCTGAGATGTATTCTCGGACATTGCAAGAAATTGCCACTAGGAAGCAGCGTTCTGCTTGAAACGTGTTTGGAGTACAGGATTCCGGCAAGAGTTTGTGATGTTCGTTTGAAATCATCCTTGCTTCCCTTGGCAGCAAAACCATGAATGTGAAATCACACCGGCTTGATCACTCGACGGCCACAAGCGGAGAGAGAGAGAGAGAGAGAGAGAGAGAGAGAGAGTCCTGTATTCGGGCCCTGTGCTCGGATGAGACCTCAGCCACAGATGGGAGCGAGCATAGAGGGCCTGAGTCGCAGTTTCGGCCATTGATCCCTAGCCTCAAAACAACGAAGATACCCTGCGTTCCATACATCAGAAGCTTAAAGCACCACTGTGTAAACCCGCAATTGTCATCCTGCTACAACACCAAGAAGGCCGTCCCGGCATGCGCCCTGCCTTCCACACATGGCTCACTCGCAAACCAGACCTTAACGGTTCTATTCCCTGCCACTTAAAGGCTCTCCCATAAGCTATACTCAAACTAGACAGGGCATCTTGTTGTGGTTTGAAGACTATTCTGTAGTCGAAGGATATCCCGGCTCTCTTCGTTCGACACTCTGCACGAGGAGCTGAGTCAGCCACCAAGTCTCGCATGTGACGCAGACCGGAATCCACCTGCCAAAAAGCATTCGATCTGTACTTGGAGGTTCATCGGTAGTTATAAGTGGAGTTTTAAGTAGGGTAATTAACTGTACTTATAACCCATACTAGGGGACTTATAACTCCACTTATAAGTACCCATGAACCTCCAAGTATTGGAAAGGCAACCAGGCCGAAAGGCTAGTAATAAGCCTGGAAGCTACAGTAGCTTCAGTGGCAGTGGGTGGGTGCACTCGCGGCCTCGCCATGATTGGCTGAAAGCTCGCGAACCTAGTGCTCGCCATACCTCCCCCCCCGGTCTCCTGAAGTCGGACCCAAAACAAAGGGTTAGAAAGGATGTACGATCAGCTCAAGAACCAAAAGCAAGGTAGCTGCAGCGCCGGCTCTGCCGATACGCAGACAAACAGCCTCTACAAGGACCCTTAGTCATAGTCAAAGAAGGAGCACCTCTTATGAATAGCCTATCAATTATACATATATAATCTAACGACATATGTGTGTACATGTCTACTTGTGTCTGTGTATATATATTCACATAATGTATGCTAAACACAGAACCCTACAACCTACACCATCCACACAAACATTATGCCCACTGAAGACCCGTGATCCTGCCCCCTTTAAACGAAAAAACATCCCAAGACAGACCCTGCAAGACATATAACCCGAAACATCGGGAAGAACAAAAAAAAACATCTAAACCCTAAGCCCTAAGCCCAACAAATCCCAAACCCTAAACCCATAAATCCTCAACCACCCATCCACCCTTCCCCCAAAAAAAAACTCAGAAAAAAAAAAAAATCACCGCAAAACTCGGTGGGCCTCTGCCCGGACCTTCCGGAGAGATTCGGCCTGTCGCTCGAATTGCTCCTGCTTTGTCAAGCTTTCCGGCGCTCTTTTAATATGGGAGTTTTCGAAAATAGGGGACCCCAGAATAGTACCCTAATAGTAAGATCCTTATTATAAGGATCCCAAAAATAGGTACCACTATTTCGGAAACTCCCATACAGCGGGGCCCTAATGACTAGAATAAGGGTTTTTTGAAGGGTTCCGTAACGGGGCTCTAGGGAGGATCTATAGTAGGGATCTATGATATAGGGGCCTTGATTATTAGAAGAGGGTGTTGGGGCCCATTCTACTATAGTCCTAATAAGGAAGCCCAAAATAGTATTGATGACTATTTGGGCTCCTATGTTAGGGGATCTGAGAGAAATCCTCGCAACACTGCTCCTGGGATTTCCGCGTGGTGGACATCAAGGCCCCCTTCAAGGCGTCGACGTCGCCTCGACCGGACTTCCTGTCATGGGCTCCATGTTTGGCGCTTCAGGGATATCTAAAAAGCTATCGGTAAGGCTCAAGGTGTGTAGGGTTGTAGTCAAGTCTGTTGCCCCAGGGTTTGGGGCGTATGCCGTAGTTGTGTCAGATTGCGAATTCTTTAAATTAGGATTTAGGCGTTTGGGTCGAGGGCCTTAGGGCTCAGCCTTTGGGCTCGAGCTCTTCGTTAAGGCTACTGGCGTGAAAGGATTCCCCGCTGAGAACACCCTCAAGCAAAGCCGGCTAGTTGTACGCTCTGAGGTACGCTCTCTAGACCCTGCTTATACCCTCAACCCGAAATACCATGAACCCGGAACTCTTCTCCTAAACTTACCCAACCCTAAACTACAACCGGGACTCTGACCCTAGCGCTGCTTCTGTAATAACATCCCTAAACCCTGACCCCGCTCGAACCCTAATTCCTAAACTCCTCCACCCTCATAGTAGCTTTTATAACAATTAACCCTTAGTAACCCTTATGAAGTCCCTTATGCATCCCTTCTGCATTAATCTTATAATAAGGAGCCCGCAAAATAGTTCTTGGTATTTTTTTGGTCCTTATGCTAAACCCTTCACCCTAAACCCTTAACCCTAAACCCCATCCCATATGCTAGGCCAAACCGTGACTCTAACGAAGCCGCCAGGCTGGCTGCGTCTCCGAAAGCCGGAGCTGGATCTCCTCCTTGGCCTCAGGTCCCGGCTTCAAGTTTAGGGGTGTAGGGCTAGGCTTAAGGGTTGAGGGTTAAGGGTTGAGGGTTAAGGGTTAAGGGTTTAGGGTTTATATTAGGGATAACCCTAAGGGTTCCTTCAAGGATAACCCTAATGAGTTCATTTTACACGGGATCCTTTAAGGGTTCCTTAGGGGCCAATATACCTTCTTCAACCATTCCTTTCAAGGTTTATTTGTTGGGTTCTAGAAGAGTTCTTTGCAGGGCTGTATACGTAAGAGTTGCATCGAGCCTTAATTGGGTTGTATGAGGATTTAGTACAGGGTTTCAAGGAGCATACCTATATTTGGACTGCGCTTGGGCCGTAAGGAGGTTCCCGTGCTTGAAAGGGAAGGTATCCTCTATGTAGATACTTGGACGCGTTAGGAAAGAAAAAAAGTATCCGCATAATCTGCTTAGGGTTGAAGGTTTATGTATCAGGACTTGGGGTTTGGGGTTTGTTCGGATTCAGGGCTTAGGGAGTTTAGCGCTTATCAGGGTTTACGGTTGAGGCCCCTGTGACCTCTCTTCGGTCTGATAGTTGGCCTCACATCGGAGATTAATGATGCAAAGCTCAGAACTGCTATAGAACCCCATAAACCCTATACTCTAGACTCTACTAAACCCTAAAACCCTTCAAACCCTGTTCTGGCACCTCTCACGGACCCTACCAAAAAAAAGAGCACTGAGCGCTCTGCTGCCTCCAACGTCTGGCAGCGCCTCTCCAACGATTCGGCCGCCGAGTGGAACCTTCAAGGCGAAACCCTGAAATCTAAACTCTAATAGAGGGGCCTTAATGGTTTTGGTGCCCAGTATATGTAATTTTATAATAAGAACCACCCCCCAGAATAGTATAGGTGCTTATTAAGGTCCCTATAGTGAACTCTAATGTTTTTCTTGGTGGGGTTCGAGGTTTTGGCTGACCCTGAAGGGTTTAGGCTCCCCAAATCCCCAGGCCCGCCACTCCAGGGTTTGCACTGGGCCCCTACGAGCCCTGAGCCCCAAAACTCTGAGGGATTCAGGGTCCACTAACAACCTAAAGCCTCCAATATCCCGTAAGTAAGGAAGATATACCTTAAATCTATAACTTAAGGTATGCGGTAAATTCCTTAATTAAGGGATATTGGGGCTTCTGGGAATCCCAAGCCGCGAAGCCGTCGAGGGCTCGGCATCCCAGGAGTCCTAAATCCTCGAGACTCTAAGGGTGTCTGAGGGGCCTAAGGGTGAGAACACCAGAACCCCGAAGCCTTCTATAGAGAGCCTGAAACCCAAGGTCTGTTGGATCTAGGACTGTCAAAGGCTTAAGCCTATTGATCAGGTTTTAACGCTTTTACAAGGACTGAAGCTATCCGAATGGTGTTTAGGAGTTGCAAGGGTTTTCTTTAAAGCCATCCCTAAAAATAGGGGCCTTAATAATTAGACTAAGGTTTTGGGGCATACTATAGTACAACTACAATAAGGAACCCCTATACATGGTATTGGTAATTAAAATTTTGGCCCCTACATGAAGGCTCTTGTTCGGTTGGTCCGGCCTGCTTGACACCTCCTGCAGGCGGGCGCTCCCCTCCTGTGCACGAGGTGCTGAGTTTATCAGGGTTTGTTTAAGGATTCTGCTGAGGGGTCTCGTGGGGGTCGTTAAAACTTCTTGGCAGTGTTGTGAAGAATTGTACAATGCTTTCTGCTTCCCTTTTTTAGAGATACCTGTTTACGGGCTACTGATGGTCAAGTTGCTTTGAGAACCCTGTTAATAGTGGTGATGATGACGGTGATGTTGATGATGTTGATGATGATGATGATGATGGCTATGGCAACGGCGTTGATTGGCGATGAAAACGGTGGCTGTAATGAGGACGATAATAATAATGGTGGTGGTGGTGGTGGTGGCGGCGGCGGTGGTGGTGGTGGCGGTGGTGGTGGTGGCGGTGGCGCCACAAGTATGAACGATTATTTGATAGTGACGCTGAAGCAAAACTGGCGCAACACATTCCTTTCTGAGATCCCCCTTATTGCCCTGTATCACCGTAACCACTACTGCTATGGCCCCAAAAGTCCGTGTATACTTCTGCGACTGTACAAATTCGTACCTTCCGTCTCAGTGCATATTCATCTTCTGATCAACAAAGGAGTATTTCTGTCGAAACTACCGGTGGTGATCAGCCGCCATGCTCAAGTGCCGGATACTATCCGAACGAGTCGAGATGACAGTCCTTACATTAGACCAGGGTTCTGAGGCACAGACCATGAAAGATGCTAGATTTCTATTGTTGGGTGTCCGTTGGTCCTCTGTTCAAGAATAAAGCAAATTTCAAGCTGCAAACTCTCAAACACCAAAACGCTAAAGCCCTAAATCAATCTTTGGACGAACCCACCTTCAACCCTGAGCCCTGCACTTTCTAAATCGTCCCGCACCTGACCCTCCGTGGTCACTTCGTCACGAAGCCGGTTTTGTCGTGCCTGGGGTCGCAAGAGAGGATTACGCCTTGATAATTGAATAGGGCTCCCTTTAACGGTTCCTTTAAGGGATACTATAACGGATCTACAGTGGGTTTCTATGGTACATGGGCCTTAATAATTGGAATAGGGTTTGGGGTATCTTATACTGTTGGTTATACTATCAAGTCTTCAAAGAGCCCTGGAAAGCACAGCTAAACTGACTATCGAGCTTTGTGCTTCTACACAACCATTGCAGGCATGCAAACAGGATGCTCGCCTGCCAGTTCAGGCTTGTCCTCCCTTGACATACGAAGACAAGAATCCGAGAACCGTCATACCCTACTTAGAACCTAAAGTTCAAGCTCAGTGAGAAAACATACGAACAAAGGAAACAGAACGTACCTATGCATTTGTTCGTGACAATGAGAAGCTAGATCATAAATGCCGTGCCCTATTGCTTCGTTCTGACACGTAAACACAAAAGCGGGCAAGAAACAAGCCTTCAAGTGGCGGCGTCACAGCCATTGCCCGCCATCTCTCACATCTGGCTTAGGTTTCGGGTTCAGCGTCCAAGTCGTGCACGAACCTGTTGCAACATCCAACCAGTAAAAATAACTCTGAAATCCTAAAGTCAATGCCGGTAACCCAAAAGCCCAATACGGCAAGAACGTGCAATCACCACTCAAAGCTAATGACGGCTACTGCAAGAGCCTCTTGAAGGAACCCTAGTTAGGCCCTAGTTGAAGAACCAGGGCTTCCTTGAAGGCCTAGTAAACCCCCAAAAGTTGGAAACCGGATTAAGGACAAAGAGTGCTGAAATCCCTCTGCATGACTCTCAAGGACTGAAGCTGTTGGGTTTGAAACTTTTGGGCTTCTACTGTAGTATAGTGCCACCGACCCCACAAGGTCCAAACATACAGCTCCTTGCGCTCCATGCCCATGCGCTCTTCCAGTGCCTTCCGGGAAGTGTCTCTTTGACTGGTCAAGCTGTCTGGTTCAGCGCCCCTGCAGACTTTGGATCGTGCAACTCGTGCTAGCATGTGTGCCGGTAATAACTAGGACATTTGCTTTGCACCCACACCCCAATCCGAACATCGAATCCGAAATCCGAAACCCCTTACACAGTACACAGTGTTTATGGAACCCTTGAAAACCACACAGCCTCCACTCGCTGCGCAATGGATTGGGCCATGAGCGCCCTTGAAAACCCCAAGGCCTGCAGGCGGAGATGGATTTAGGCTATAAAGGGGTCTTGATAACTGCAATAGGACTTCGCGGCATAATCAAAGGGAGTTTTATGGGGATAATAAGCCCAGGGTCTGCAGGCAGATATTGGAGAAAAGTTTACACTGTAGGGATTTTCAGGTTTATAGACGTTCTCTGCATTTAGGAGCAGTTCGTAATATCCCCAAATAGTGCCTGTATGTTTCTACTGTGAGATACCAGAGCCCCGTTCTGCATGGCATGTGACGGACTTTTTGGCCTGCCGGCTACGGATTCAATGAACTTTTACTAGGCGAGGCGCTCGGCCTTGAAACTTGCTGCAAAATGGTCTCAAACACAATCCTCTTGTCCTCTTGGATCCCAGCAAGTAAAGTAGAATATGTCCCAATGGCCTTGAGAGCGTAATGTTGGATCTGGCTCCAGATAGCAGGTTGGAATGGCAACGTCGTCTGCAGAATGCCAGAACGAAAGCCAAAGCAAGGGAGCAACTTGACTTGCAAGCCCAGAACCCTGAACTCCAAAAAAAATGCCCGACAATGATCCCTATCAACGTATGGGTTGAGATAGGGCCATGTGGCAAAGGATCGTCTAAGGGGTCTTGGACATTTTAGTCTCAAGATCATGGACAGAAGCGGCCGCCTGGCTGAGAGCTTCCAAGCGAGTACTCTGCTCCTGCTGTGCCTCGTTGCGTGGTGTGGGTGGGGAGGTGGGGGCTTTCGCGCCGAAAGGAAGGCTTTCAGCGCTAGGAGATGACCTAAGCATTACAGACTAAGGTTTGAGGTTTAAGGAACTGTCATGTGTGACACCTTCAACAAGGCTGTAGCTTAGGCGCTAGACTTTAGGACACAAGATATCGGAGGATTTGCATTCCGGCGCCGAGTAGTTTTGACCTTGGTGTGCTGTTGCACCTCACGATGCGTTATTGGCCCGATCACATATATATATATATATGATTCAGTCAGGCGCTGTGAAGGCAGCCTAACAACCTAACAGATCTGAAGCACCCTCCCAAGCCACCAACCCAAAACCCTGTAAGCTTCAGGTGAAGGCCTTGGGTTTAGGGTTTAGAGTTTTTGCTCTATGTAGGTCACCGAATTTCCGTCGGGACCCTCCAAATTCGGCAGCTCGACCCTGGTCGCATAAACGGGATGTTAGTGATCTCAGCCTGCCTTCAACCCCAAACCCTGCACGCTGAACGCCCTGGCTTAAATTCCCGACAATTTGCATATGGGAGTTTCCGAAAATTAGGGGCACCTTATTTGGGGGTCCTGATAATAAGAACCCTACTATTTAGGGTACGGTATTAGGGTCCCCTATTTTCGGAAACCCTCATATCCAATCACAATGAACCTGAGCTCTGGGCCGCAGCACGAGTGGCGCTTTCCCCTGCCCAGGCGTGGGGTTCAGGGCTCCGCGTTCTGGGGTCTATCTTACCTTTGGTTAGTAGGAAATGGAGGAATGGGGTACAATTATAACTACTAGTACTACCATTCTTTCATTCCCTACTAACCAAAGGTAAGCTTTCGGGCTCAGTTATAGCACTTCAATGGATACTTGGAGGTTCATGGGTAGTTATCAGTGGAGTTATAAGTCCCCTAGTATGGGTTATAACTATACTTACCCTAAACCCTAAACCCCACTTATAACTACCACCCATGAACCTCAAAAGTATAGCACTTCAATGCATAGGGTTTGTAGGGTTAAGGGCAACTTTGGGGTAAGAGGCGAGCACACACTTGGCTTTCCGATGCTCAGACCGAAGCTCGTAAGACCTTCTCCCTGGAAAAGGCGGCCAACTTAGGGAAATATCAGGGCGACTATAAGGGTGCTAGAAGGGTAATTTCAGACATGTCCAGAGGAATGAATGAACTGTACAACACCCGGATTTGTAGGTACATAGAGATAGTGAAACCGTGACGAGCACTGCGGTGTTCCTTTGGAGACTCATTTAACTAATCTAAACCCTAAACTCTTAAACCCGTGAACTCAAACTCTTGGCTAGATCACCTGAAGCCATAGCCAAACCTTCAAAACCAAACCCTACCCAGAATCTGCTTCCCAAAGTACCACCGAGACCGGATCTAACGCAAGGATTGTAGAGTCTCAGCAACATATGCTTCCAGTCATATCAGCGAACATTACTCCTATGGCACGCTTGCTGTTTCCCGGGCTCGCCTTCCAACCGGGCCTGGATTTCTGACAAGGTAGCTCCGCTCTGCACCGAGCCTACAAAGCTGATACACGGCGCCGGAGAGTGGGGCCAATATACCAGGACAGAAGTGAATCACGGGGAGATGCGTTCAACCATCTATCCATGCATTCATTCATTGCATGCACATACTCGTGTAAATCTACCTAGTGAATGCTTACATAACTTGATTTTACTTGTTGGGCGGAGGACCTTCCAGGTTGAGGGTTTGCTGCTTTTTTCGCCGGAGGTTTGACAGATTTGATAAAATGGAGGCCTCAATGACTGGAATGGCTCGTGCTTTTCTTTTTCGTAAGGATGGGGCTGCATTGTAGAAATTTATGGACTATGTATTATACAGGAACCTTGCTACAAAGTTTTCAGACCCCTGTAGTACCGGTTTGATTTGAGGAGGCATTGTTCCAGCTTTGATGTTACACGCAGTCGAACTTGACAGACTTCTATCGGGGATACAGTGAACCTACACCCCAACACCCAAGACGGAAATTAGTTGATCTCCGCGGGTGAGGCGCCTTGCTGCAATCTGCTCAGGTGCTGCTTCAGGAAGTCGATCTCCTCGTCCACTCTGCAAAAATCATGAAGACAAAATGCAATGTATGGCAATCATCATCTCGACATGAAACGCGATCAAGCCAACATCAGCGTCCTGTAATGCCAGCATTGCAGGCAAGCATATAAAAGCATAACCTACATCCTGATATCGTCCTCATGTATGTATGTGTATGTGTGCATAAACGTGTATATACGTTTGCATTTACATATGCATATACATGTACATACACATACACATATACATATCCATATACATAGACATAGACATATACATATACATATACATAGACATATACATATACATATGTATATACATATACATATGTATATACATATACATATACATATACATATACATATGCATATACATATACATATACATATACATATGTATATACATATACAAAAACATATACATGTACATACATATACACATACACATACACATGCACATACACATACACATACACATACACATACACATACACATACACATACACATACACATACACATACACATACATACATACATACATACATACATACATACATACATACATACACACACATACATACATACATACATACATATACGCTTCGTATACACAGCTATAGCCACATACACAGACAGAGACACAGACATAGAAAATACATGGCCATAGACAGGCACATGGACATAGACATGGATATGCACATATATATATATATATATATATATATATATGTGTGTGTGTGTGTTTTTGTATATATATATGTGTATATATATACATATATATATATATATATATTATATCCAGAATTATGTATACGTATGCATATGTGCATGCATATGTATGTATGTATATATGTGTATATATATATATATATATATATTATATTATATATATAATAGGCTGCTGGGATTTTCACGGATCTACGTTCAGCATAGACGTTGTGATTTTCATGAAGATGCAGGAGTAAATAGGGAGTAGAGACACATTTTTCGGACAGGTCCGAGAACATCGGGCATAGACGAAGGCACACCCTTCTCAAACCCTAAACCCTAACTGAGTTTGCTCTCTTGCTTGGACGAACAACTCGCAGAGGGCCATAAGCCCAAACCCCAAACCCTGTACGAAAAACAGCAAACATATCCACCAATGTTGGGATGTCGACAAACAACCAACGGAAGGGGAACAGAACCCGAAACCCTTGTCGGGTTTCGCATTTGATGGTCTTGCGGTTTTAGGAGGGATCCAAAGTCTCAACCCTTGGCGTGAAAGGGCTTAGGCACAGGTCCACAGCCGACACCTTGACCTGCACCATATGTGATCCTATGCCCAAGCCACTGGATGTGACCGTCTGGCGACCACTCCATACCCCTTGATTGCCTTGCTTGATTTAGGCGCATGAACGAAGTTATGCTAGATCGACAAACTACAAAGGGATCCGTAACATGAACAATCCTAACCACAAAAAGAAACCGCCCCCATTTAGTGCTAAAGAGTTTCAACTCAAGCGAGGTCTGGTTCCTTCAACCGAGAGAGGGGTTCTAGTTCTTTGAGCGCGGTCGCTTAGACTAGAGAACCCCGGCCGTCTGCTGGGATCTGTGACAGAGGCCTTATGTAGGAGCCGTCATAATGCCATTATACTTATAATGGGGATCCACCAAAAAACCCTATTCTATGTAATGAGGCTCCTACATTTATTAACAATTCAGATGGGGGTCTTTCACTCCACTTATGCCCCCACAAGTTACTGCGGCACCTCTCTTTAGGTGGGTTCAGGCCCTGAAATCGAGACTTCAATCCTGAAGTTGAAAGCTATGAGCAGGGCCTGCAAAGACCGTATGTACTTTACATCCCTAGACTTAAACCCCACTCTCTAAGCCCTCAAAACCCCCAGACAGAACAAAGCAGATTAGCAAATGGAGCTCCTGGGCCGCAAACCCGTCACCAAGATCCACTGAGCGGCCGAGGCCGTCGGCCTGGAGACGGCTCCAGGAGGTTCGGCGGGGGAGTAGGGTTTAGGGTTTTAGAATGGTCTCAGGGGTGTTAAGGGGTTGCTGAGAAGGTTTGTATGGGTAGGGGTTGCTGAAGGTTTCTACGGGTTGTAGAGGGTTGTACATGGGGTTTGAAGGGTTTCATGAAGGGCTTATGGGGCTGTAGCAGGTTTGGACATTTCACACCCCTAAACCATAGTCTGTGTAGTTGGCTAAATTAGGGTCCGTCTTGGCCCAGCATCATTCTTCACAAGGGCGGTGACCTATAGAGCCTCCAAACTGCCCTAACCGAAGAACTTCTTGTAAAGCTATTATAACAAACGTGTACGGTTTGGGGGTTTATTGTTTCCTAAATCCTTTAACTCTGCACCCGAAACTCTAAACCCTTTGTAGCCTATACTTTCTAGCGGCCGCTGACGCGGGGCAACGGACCTTCGTGGGAACTTCCAGGGCTGTCAGCCGCACGCGAAGCTCGGCCTGTCAGTATTGATGTTGCTGTAAGGGCTTTTTGGGTGGTTCCTTTCGGTGTTCCGATAGGGCTACTATGAGGGTTCTGATCGTTTACAAAGGCTTTATAAGGGCTGCTGTAAGCCTGTAGGGGTCACTATCGGGATCCAACTGATACGGCTTCGGGGTGTGGGTGGTTTTGCGCTTTAGGTCTGTTTTAAATTTGTAGGGTGCCGTTCTTGTCGGGATAGAGCGAAAGGGTCTGGGGAATAGGGCTTACGGAGGAAATTGTCTCTAATTCTTTGCTTAAGGGCAAGCCTCATAAGCCTCCCAAAGGTACAAAGGAATCCTGAACCCCAACCTATACCTCAAAGCCCCAATCCACACAAGCCCAAACCTCCAACTACGAAACCATACAAGACCTTATATCGTATACCCATAGAAAGCTCTATGACGCATCATGCAAAGGCCTTGCAACTATCTGCAAGAGGCCCCTAGCCCTAATTAGTGCTCCTCCCCAAACCCAAACCCAGCCATCTCCCCCAGCCGCTTTTACGAAACGCAAGCTGAACGAAGTCTTGCTCTAAGACGGACCGGGCCTGAGAAGTGAGCAGCTTCTCCCGCATATCCTCAGCTGGGTCGTTGTCCGAGTTATCGGACACCCGAAGCTGGGGCACTTGGAGCCAGAGTTGCTAGCTTGGGCGGTTGGCCCTTTTACAAAATCGTAAGTACAGTTCCCCTAAACGCACTAAAGGATCGGATAAAATAGCTTAGCGGAGTAAAGGCCGTGAAGTGCATGCCAAGATCCTCCAGCGAAGCATTCAGCATTTCCAGGTCAGATTGAACCTGCGCCTGCGGCTTTCAGGCAATCACCAGGAGTCGGAGTGTGCAAAAGCCGCGATCCAAAGCTCATGTTCCTAAATTAGAATACTTTCTGCAAGTACGCTGACTCATCTTGACAGCCGCTGCTGCAGTCGATGTGCTCATCATCGTCGTGAAAGACCACAAAAAGGAGCGCTCTACCAAATATGATCTCCAAAGAAGGCTCATCCTATAAGGATGCTCAGTCTTCACAAGGGGACCCTACCTAACCCCTGAACTCTAAACCCTGCCGACTCACAATCTGAAGCTGCAATTTTTCAAAGATCTGGTCGGTCGACACGACTAGCACTGAGAGCTCCACATCCTTCTGTTTGATGGCCAGGCGCCACTCCTACCGGTTCAGGTCTGCAAGACCCTTTCCTCCAAAAGAGAAACCAACCACTACCGCCACAAACAACACCCCAGTGCATCGTAAAGAGAAATGGGGGCTTGGGCCTTGGCTTTTTCAGGCCCAGCTATGTATTCAATCGCAGTTTCTTCTTTTGGTTACTGTGCCTTCGTCTTCGAGGAGGCTGTTAAAACATGAAGCTCAATTAGTTGTTTTTGATTCCAAGAGTTACCGCGAAAGGATGTTGGGATCCTCTAGTCTAAACAAGATAAGTGCCCTAAGGGTTCCTTGGATCAGGGTTTGGAGTTCAGGGTGGGAGGCACACTGCCCTTTGTCGGGACGCCATAGGTCCGTAGTTTCTTTGAATCGGGGCTTCGTAAGCATCTTTAGGGGGCTCGAAGGGGTTGCAGGATGTGAGGGTTTGAAGTTAGGCTTTCCTGGGGAATACCATGCGCCGCTAGAGACAAGAGCCAGCTTCTTCAGGCTACCCAGAGCATACAGTACAACTGCTGCCAGGCCCACAAGGCCCCGTACATGTAGAACCCGTTTAAAAGGATAGAAAGTCCGAAAGCATCCTAACCAAAGCCCCTCACTCTCAAAGTAGGCTTGGCAGATCTTTGTGGCCGCAGGGATAAAGATCCAAGATGTCGGAGGTGAACCAGACTTCAGAAACCGGTACCCTTAAGCCCGCTGAAGCGTTGCAGCTTCCCGTAGGGTTTAGAGTTTGGGGCTTGGGGTTTAGGTTTCGGGGCTTAGCGTTTAGGGTTTCTGCGGTTAAGCTGCCAGGGTCCGGGGTTTCAGAATCAAGTGTTGGCGTTCGGGGTCCCTGCACTGCACCCTGAAACCCCACTCGAGAACACTGGACTCCTCAACTTCGCACCCTCCACAAGACTTGGAACCTTAAACCCTGCACCCACGCCTCCGTGGAGTGTATCTGCCGGGCCAGTGCAGTCGAAACCTCGCGGCATCAGCTCGACAGTGTGAAGAGTTAGGCCCTTTGCAGTGGAGAACTATGTAGCCATATATATATATATATATATATATATATATATATGGTGTGTGTATATATATATATATACATAGATGCATTATGGATAGGGTTTACCCGGGAGCTTACTCTTGCGGAGCGTCGGGCTTCCGGGTATAGGCTTTGGTTTTGTTTAGACTACATAAGGCTTCTAAAGTCTAGCTGCAGGGTTATGGTTTCGCATATTCCAAGCTCGTAAAGTAAGAACAAGCCAGGCCACCAAATCGTCACGAGCAGCATGATAATGAAAAGGACACGGGTTGTGGAAGCTGCGCATCGGCTGACAGTGGCGCTCACCCCCCCTATAACACGCAAACCGTTGGGCCAAACACTCAAAGAGCACCAAACCCCTCATTATTATTAGCGCAATCTCCAAACCCTGAACCTGAACCCGGCAATCCCAAAGGCATGGATGAGTAAGAAACTGAACCTCCAAACCGTATCCCCCCAAACGCTACACCAATGTCCTCAACATAAGGAGCCCCTTAAAAACGGATGAGAGCTCTTAAAGGAACCCAAACAAAACACTGAACGCCCGCCCCCCCCCCCCTCCAGAAAAAAAACTAAAACATTAAGAATAACACAACCCTGCCTGGCCCTCCATGTCCACGTGGTCGGCGAGCTGCCGACTCAGTGTCTGCGTAGTAAACTGCTGAAACTCGGCCTGCGGAGGGTCCAGTAGGTTCAGTCAGGCTTTGCGGCTTAGGGTTGAAAATGGTTCTAGAAAGCTTTTCTAGAAGAGCTCCACAATGGCTGTGTAGATCCGGGAAGCATAGTTGCTAGCGCATCTTTGCTCTGTGAGGTTTCTTAGGGTGCTTTTGCCACTGGAAGGTTTTTTAGCGCGTGAGACGCTCCTTTAATGCGGGTGCAAACGGCTTAACATAGTGGCAGTAAAAGAATCTTAACTGGATTTAGGCGTATATTGCAGTACAGATTCATGGGACTCTCGCGGCATACTGCTAGTTTCACTAATGAGTTTCTATTCAAACCCCCATGGTAGGATTAGGGGCTAGGGTTGTAGGGTAATTAAGGGCGAGGAGAAGATTCGCACTTCCAAGCTTTTTCTAGGGTTTGGATTTAGGGTTGAGCGTTTCAGGCTTGTGGTTTCTTCTTCCTTCTTGTTCCCCAAACAGAGTGCTGATGCCACCACGGGGTGCTTACATTGACGGAGAAGGCTGGGCCCTCAAGGTGTGCACTACGTCGATCCTCGGCGAATGCCAAACTCCTGAACATATTCCATGCTTTGGCACCATGTCAACGTGCCTGTGCTCGAAGTGCTAAAGTCTGAACGAGGCCAAAATATTCGGCCTCTTACTTCCTTCGTGTGGTCTTATGTCTGTTTCTTCGATTGTTGTGCCTGGCACTTTCAAATCGCTCCAAGAGTGCTACAAGCCTCACAGCTCTGCCCTGTAGTCTAAGAATCTGGGGCTTTCGTGTTTCGGGTGGTGGTGGATCGCTGTGGTCTTTTACCGTTTGGGCTATGTGCACTTGCAGCGCTGCTTTTCATGACGTACAGAAGCAGTTATTTCGCGATTCTTCTTGTGACTATCCAGAATATTGTCACGATCCTTGTTGTTTCACTTGCTGCTGCTGCTGCTGCTGCTGCTGCTGCTGCTGCTGCTGGCATTGCCTTGGCTAATGGAAGCTGCCCGAAGCCTGAAGGCTCACCAGCTGGTCCTGGAGCTGCGTCTCGTGCACGTGGGACCTGGTCGCAGGTTCTGTCTTGAAGGGCTGTAGGCTTTAAACGCCAAAACCCTGAATGATAGCCGGGTTAATTATTCGTGTACCATCACAAACGATCGTGACAATGTGGCGAGACTTAAACGTTGCATTGAAAAAGAAGGTCCTCGCAATGTGACGTGAGGAACATCCCTCGACGAAAGAGTTTTGGGCCTCTGGGCTCCCTAAACGAATTCTTTCTCCAACCCCGAACCGCCCCAAACCGGAATCCCTCAACTCACAAAACCCATGAAAAGCTCTTTGAGAAACCCGTTCAGTCCGGTGAACAACCAAACCCAAACCCCTAAACCCAACACCCCAAAGCCCAAAAATCGCTTGGCTTCAGATAGCCCATACATAAGCCGCCCCTTATGGAGCCCTCTTCCTAAACTCTGAACGGCCCGAAACCCTAAACCCGAAGCCGCACTCCCGAATTGGTCCTCTTAGCCCCGGGCTGCTGGGCTTTGCCCTCCAGCTGGTGGAACCTCTGAGTCTCTACGATGCTACGCTCATCGACCACCTGCGCTGCGGCGGAGTTTTCCGGGGCCCTTTAGTCTAGTCTCACATGGGGGCTTCCTGAAGGGTGCTGCAATGGATCTGGAGTACAGGGCCCTGACAAATCATATAAAACTCGCTTCGTCGAGGGTTCTACAAGGGTTCTTGGGGGACTGAATAGTTTAGACAGGGCTCCGCGAAGATCTGGGTAACGGTGTTAGAATATAGAGGCAATAGCAATTAGTGCATGTAGGGTCTTGGGGTATACTGTATAGAACTGAATAGTATTACCACTTGCGCAGGGTGTTTTCAAGGGGTCTGGAATTAGTTTGGGATTTTTTTTTTTTTTGTGCATTTTTTTTTTGTGGTTTGCTTGGCCGTGTTGCATTGCCTTGCAGGGCACCGAAGATCGTGGGGGTTCCTTTCTGAGCCTGCAGATTTACAGCTGAGGGTTTGGGGCGTTGGGATTGGGTTTTAAACTCAGGGCTTTGAAATCGAACCTGTGTATGGTGCTGCGTGCTCAGTTCTGATACCATTGGATTGCTCCTACGTTTGTTTCTCATGTTGCTATTGCTGCCCCTGTCGTGTTAAGTCTTGTGGCCCCTGTCAGCACCCTAAGCCGAAACCCTAAACTCTTTGCACTAAACCCTACACCCCATACCCTAAACCCTGAACCCCAAACCCAAACATTTTCCGCGCCCACTCTAGGCCCACAGAACAAGTCCTACATCCGAAAACCTCAAATGCCGCCTAGCTCTAAACCCAACAAGACCCCTAGTAGTAGAAGTAGTAGTAGTAGTAGTAGTTGTTGTTGTAGTTGTAGTTGTAGCACCAGTCGCAGTAGCAGTCGCAGTAGCAGTAGCAGTAGTAGTAGTAGTAGTAGTAGTTGTAGTAGTAGTAGTAGTAGTGGTAGTACTAGTAGTAGCAGTAGTAGTAGTAGTAGTAGCACTAGTAGTAGTAGTAGTAGTAGTAGTAGTAGTAGTAATAGTAATAGTAGTAGTCGTAGTAATGGCAATAGCAACAGCAACAGCAATAGTAAGAGTAAGAGTAATAGTAGCAGTGAGAGTAAAAGTAGTAGCAATCAGCAATAACAACAGCAACAGCAATAGCAACAGCAAGAGCAATAGTAATAGTAATAGCAATAGCAATAGCAAAAGCGATAGCAATAGTAATATAGCAATAGCAATCGCAATAGGGAGAGTAAAAGTAATAGTAATAGTTGTCGAAAATAGGGGACCCTCATAGTACCCATAAAATAGTAGGATCCTTATTGCGAGGCGCCCAAAATAAGGTACCCCTAATGCCCTCATTTGCTGGGTTTCAAAAAAAGGCATATGAATCAAAGCAACCCTGCACGGCTTAAAACAGCGGGGGGGTTGGGGGGGGCGCAGCCCCCCCCATTTGCAGAGACAACGTTCACATGATGGGCTTCGAAAACACTCTTTGAATCAAGCTTGCACGTCTCGAAAAGCGCGGCGGCGGGTGTTTTGTTCTTCCGTGCCTGTTCGTGTCTCTTCTTCCGTTAGCATTCTAACCTAATATATATAACATAGTAAACCAGAAGAACGACATAAGATGGTTCGACAACACAAAAATGGTGTGACATTTTCTGACATAACAGAACCTTGCTTCTTATAGCATATAATAGCATACTAAAAATACAACAATACAATATAACAGAAGATGACATAGAACAAAACAACATCTTAGTTTATAGTGTAGTACATTGTAACATAGTACAGTACAGTGTGTATATTTACAACATAATATGTAGTATATTTTATAGGTTACATTTACATTATGTTATATTATGTTACGGTACATTACGATATTATGGTAAATTCGATTGGGCTATGTAGTATCCTGTTGCTTGTATCTTTGTTTCTGTGATTTTTTCATATTCTTTCTCTTTCGTATTTTCCAACTTTGCTTTTTTATTCTGGACTTCTTTCTTTCTTTCGCTCGTTCATTTCTTTTCTTTCTTTCTGTTGTTCTTTCTTTGTTCATCTCATACTCCCTTCCTTTCTTTCTTGCTTTCCTTTCTGGTTTGATTTATTTCGTTCTTTCTTTGGTTCGTTCTTTCTTTCGTTCTTGCTTTCGTTCTTTCTTTCGTTTTTGCTTTCGTTCTTTCGTTCTCTCTCTCGTTCTATCTTTCTTTCTTTCTGTTTTCCTTGTTTTCGTCCTCTTTAGATACAGCAATTTTTGAATTTTTCCCAGGGGAAACACTGTTTTCATACGGATTCGTTTTCATTTCCTGAGGATTTGCTTGGTTTTTGGTTCGGGAAAACACGATTTTCCTACGGATTCCGTTGTATTTCCTTAAGTTTCTTTCTTTAGTTCTTGCTTTCGTTCTTCCTCTTGTTTTTGCTTTCGTTCTTTCGTTCTCTCTCTCGTTTTTTCTTTCTTTCTGTCTTTCTTTCTTGCTTTTTTAGATACAGCAATTCTTGAATTTTTCCAAGGGAAAACACTGCTTTCCTAGGGATTTTCTTTCGTTTCCTAAGGATTTGCTTGGTTTTTCTTGGGGAAAACACGATTTTCCTACGGATTCCGTGGTATTTCTCTAAGTTGTCAACTCTCTTTGGTTTTTTCCTTGTGTTTTCTTTTTTCTTTCCTTGTAGCTTTCTTTCTTTACTTAGTTCTCTATTTTTGTTTTCATTCTTTACTTATAGCTTTCTTTATTTACTTATTTCTCTGTTTCTTGCATGGCTTTCTTTACTTCTTTCGTTGTTTCTTTATTTCTTTCTTTTGTTCTTTCTTTCTTTCGTTGTTTCTTTATTTCTTTATTTCGTTATTTTTTTTCGTTCTTCCTTGCTTTCTTTCTTCCTTCCTTTCTTTCTTTCGTTCTTTCTTTCTTTCCTTCTCTCTCTCTCTCTCTGTCTTTCGTTCCTTTTTCCCCTTCCTTTCGCGGATACCCGTTTAATTTTTTTTGATCCTTATTTAATTTTTTTGATCCTTATTTAATTTTTTTTTGATCCTTATTTAATTTTTTTTAACTTCTATCCCGCTTTACTGACCTAAATTCGCCTCGGCTCGGCTTAGGGTTGAGGGCGTGACTTAAGGACTGATTTATGAGGCTCTCTATGCCGAAGAAAAAAGCCAAGAAGCCGAAAAGCCAAGAAGGGCAGGGGGTTTTTTTTTTCTCAGAGGTGCGGCCAACCCTTTTTTTTCCGAGGTGCGGCCAACCCTTGGTTTAAGGTTGGACACGCAGGATCCCTGTAGAGGGTTCATCGGGGACGTAAAGAATTTGCGCCGCACCACAGCGCCAGCGCTTTGACACGCAGGATCCCTGTGGAAGGTTTATCGGGGACGTAGAAAACTTGCACCGCACCACAGCGCCAGCGCTTCGACGCACAGGATCCTTGTGGAAGGTTCATCGAGCACGTAGAAAATTTGCACCGCACCACAGCGCCAGCGCTTCGACGCGCAGGATCCCTGTGGAGGGTTCATCGGGGACGTAGAAAATTTGCACCGCACCACAGCGCCAGCACATCGACGCGCAGGATCCCTGTGGAGGGTTCATCGGAGTTTCCTTGATGTCGTCGTGGTCGTCGTCCTGGTTGTTGTTGCTGTTGCTATTGCTGCTGCTGTTGCTGTTGCTGTTGTTGTTGATGATGATGTTGCTGTTGGTCGTGGTTGTTGTTGTTGCTGCTGTTGTTGTTGTTGTTGTTGCTGTTGTTGTTGTCGTTGGTTGCTGTTGTTGTGGTTGTGGTTGTGATTGTGTTTGTGGTTGACAGGGTGAGGGATCAAAAAAAACTTAATTAAGGATCAAAAGAATTAAAGCACCAGGATCAAAACAAAATAAAACAAGGATCAAAAAAGATTAAGTCACGTAAAATACAGCAATTCCTGGGGCAGAGGCATCAAAAAACACCTTAAAATAAGGATCAAAAAATTGAATCACTCAAAATACAGCAATTCCTGAATTTCCCAAGGGAAAACACTATTTTCCTATAGATTTTCTTTCATTTCCTTAGGATCTGACTGGTTTTTCCTCGGGAAAACACGATTTTCCTACGGATTCCGTGGTATTTCCTGAAGTTTTCCTTGGTTTTCCTGGGAAAAACACCATTTGTCTATTACCTATGGCGTTCGTATCATTTCTTCAGATTTTCAGAAGGAAAACATACGTTATCTTTGGTTGTTCCTCGGGAAAATCAAATTTTCGTTGCAATTTCGCATTTAGGACGGATTTCGTGTTGTAGCTCTTGCTGGTATTCCGCTTCATCACCTATCTTAAACACACCCCCTCATTTGGCGATTCTGGTTCAGCGGGGGGGTTGGGGGGGGCGCAGCCCCCCCCCCCATTTGCAGACACAACGCTCACATGATGGGCTTCGAAAACACTCTTTGAATCAAGCTTGCACGGCTGGAAAAGCGCGGCGGTGGGTCTTTCGTTTTCCGTGCCTGTTCGTGTCTCTTCTTCCGTTAACACTCTATAACATAATATAACATAGTAAACCATAAGAACGACATAAGATGGTTCGACATCACAAAAATAGTGTGACATTTTCTGACATAACAGAACCTTGCTTCTTATAGCATCTAATAACAGAACAAAACACGACAATACAATATACCAGAAGATAACATAGAACAAAACAACATCTTAGTTTATAGTGTAGTACATTGTAACATAGTACAATACAGTTTGTATATATACAACATAATATTTAGTATATTATATAACATCAGGTTACATTATGCTACATATTTTATGGTCCATTACGATATTATGGCATATTCGATTGGACAATGTAGTATCCTATTGCTTGTATCTTTGTTTCTGTGTTTCTTTCATGTTCTTTCTCTTTCGTATTTTCCAACTTTGCCTGTTTTTTCTGGATTGATTTCTTTCTTTCGCTCGTTCATTTCTGTTATTTCTTTCTGGTGTGCTTTCTTTATTCATTTCATACTCCCTTCCTTCCTTTCTTTCTTGCTTTCTTTCTTTTTCATTTATTTCGTTCTTGTTCTCGTCCTTTCTTTCTTTCGTCCTGTCTTCCTTTCTTTCTTTCCAGATACAGCAAATCTTGAATTTTTCCAAGGGAGAACACTGTTTTCCTACGGATTCTCTTTCATTTCCTAAGGATTTGCTTGGTTTTTCTCAGGGAAGACATGATTTTCCCACGGATTCCGTTGTATTTTCCAAGTTTTCCTTGGTTTTTCCTGGGAAAAACACCATTTGTCTATTACCTATGGCGTTCGTGTCATTTCTTCAGGTTTTCAGAAGGAAAACATACGTTATCTTTGGTTGTTCCTCGGGAAAATCAAATTTTCGTTACAATTTCGCATTTAGGACGGATTTCGTGTTGTAGCTGTTGCTGGTATTCCGCTTCATCACCTATCTTAAACACACCCCCTCATTTGGCGATTCTGGTTAGCGGGGGGGTTGGGGGGGGCGCAGCCCCCCCCCATTTGCAGACACAACGCTCACATGATGGGTTTCGAAAACACTCTTTGAATCAAGCTTGCGCAGCTCGAAAAGCGCGGCGGTGGGTCTTTCGTTCTTCCGTGCCTGTTCGTGTCTCTTCTTCCGTTAACACTCTATAACATAATATAACACAGTAAACCATAAGAACGACATAAGATGGTTCGACATCACAAAAATAGTGTGACATTATCTGATATAGCAGAACCTTGCTTCATGTAGCATCTAATAACATAACAAAAGACGACAATACAATATAACAGAAGATAACATAGAACAAAACAACATCTTAGTTAATTTATGTCCTGTCGTCGTTCTTTCTCCATTTTTGTTATTTCGTTATGTCTTTATTGTTTGTTTTTCTTTGTTTCTGACTCTATTTCGTCCTTTCCTTGTGTTTTCTTTTGTCTTTCCTTATAGCTTCCTTTATTTGTCTATTTGTTTATTGTTGATTTCTTTCTTTCCTTATAACTATTTTTGTGTATTTCTTTCTTCTTGCCTTATTGCTTTCTTCCGCTCATTCTTTGTTTCGTTCTTTCTTTCTTTTTCTTTCTCTCTCTGTCCCTCTTGCTTTCCTTCTTTCTTTCTTTCTTTTTTGATCTCTCTCTCTCTCTCTCTCTCTGTCTTTCTTTCCTCCGTTACCCCCCCTCCTTTCGTGGATACCTGTTTATTTTTTGATCCTTATTTAATTTCTGTTTGATCCTTATTTTATGTTTTTGATTCTTATTTGATTTGTTTTTAACCCCTATCCCGTGGTTGTGGTTGTGGCAGAGGACTACGGGACCGCATGCACCAGGGAACCAGGAGACCACGGGACCAGAGGACCAGCAGACCAGAGGACCAGGGGACCACAGGACCAAGGACCAGAGGACTAGGGGACCGCGAGCAGAGGACCAGGGGACCACAAGACCAAGGACCAGAGGACTAGGGGACCGCATGCACCAGGGACCCTTGGCCGCACCTCGCCAACAAGGGTTGGCCGCACCTTGGAAAAAGAAAACCAAGGCCCGCCAAGAAGCCAGAAGCCAAGAAGCCAGGGAAGCCGAGAAGCCAAGCCAAGCGCGCACACAAGCCAAAAAAAAAAAAAAACGCCTCCGTTTTCAAGTGTTTCGCACTGGTTCCAGAAAGGTTTTAACCAGCTTTCATACGGGCTCAAGAAATTTCAGTCTTATGTCTCAGATTTACCCGAGACCTGCACTGCACCTGGTATGTTTACATACCTAAGCTTCTAACCCTCCTGCAGCTTCTAGATTCTAGAGATAAACGTACAGCCCTCAACTTCAAAGCAACTTGGCTGCTGAAGCATCTCGGATTGAAGTTCAAGGCCTTGCGAAGTGCCGAAAGCTCATCCTCAAGCTTCCGCACATAGCCAGCCTGGTGTTCGGAGCTTTTCATAACAAGCATGATGCGGCTGTTTAGCGTCTGTGATTGGGTCTCGCATGTTCCGAGACTGCGGCTGACAACAAAGAAGTATAGCGCACACTAGCAGTCATCATCAGCGATGCCTTGGTCATGGCCATGAAAGTTAATCATCCCAAGTAGCCGCAACATCATCACCGCCTCCCTTATCAATCATCACCATCACCATCATCATCACCATCATCATCAAGAGTCATCCATTACGATTGCTGTAAGCAACACCACCCGCGACATTTTGATGGCCTGAGACTCGAAGCCATCCAGCCGCTTCTCGCACGCTGACATGCGCGCTGCCTGCCGACAAAGGCATAAATACAAAGTGTGCTCACGGACAGAACAGTCGACCAATCAAAAGAAAGTCGGAAGAAAAAAACACATTACACATACTAGACTGACAGTGAAAGTGCAGAACAAACACAGCATCAAGTACCTCTCATGCTGACGTGCATGATAGTATCGTCACCGAAGAGCAGATACAGCAGCAGCACCAGCAGCAGCAGCAGGAGTAGCAGCAACAACAACGACAGCCATATTGGTAGTGGTGGTGGCCAGTGGTGAGCGGTAAGTGGTAAGTGGTAAGTGGTCGTGGACTAGGTCGCGGTCGTCCTCGTGTCGTGGTCGTGGCCTTGGCCGTGGTGTTGGTCCTAGCGGCAGCAGCCAAAGCAGAAGAAGCACAGGCAGCAGCAGCAGCAGCAACAGCAGCAACACAAGCTGCAAACTATTGACCCTTAACCCTGACCCCTAAAAATGCAAACCAAACGCTCCGCGCGCACCATGGCGTTGTCGTGCACGGCATCCCGTGGCAGCTGCGCCTGACATAGAAGCTGACTCTGGGGAGCATTCGGGGTTTGGGGCTTAAGGGTGCAGGTCCTGATCAAAAGTGGCAGTCGCTTGTGGTGTTGGTGCCGCTACTGCTGACTTCCCGGTGTTTTTCACTGCTACTGCTGCTAGTGCTACCGCTACTACTACTGCTCCTACTAGTTCTCCTCCTCCTCCTCCTCCTCCTCCTGCTGCTGCTGCTACTGCTGCTGCCACTGCCACTGCCACTGCCACTGCCACTGCCACTGCCACTGCCACTGCTACTACTGCTACTGCTACTACTACTGCCACTGCCACTGCCACTGCCACTGCCACTGCTGCCGCTACTGCTACCTTCTACTTCTGCCCCCACTGCGACTGCTACTAGTATTGCTTCTACTACTATTGCTGCTGCTACTGCTGCTACTGTTACCGTTGCCGCTACCGCTGCCACTTACCGCTACCGCTACGGCTACTGCTGGTGCCAGTGCTTGTGCTAGTGCTAGTACTCGTGCTAGTGCTACTGCTACTGCTGCCTATTGTTCTTCTTCTTATTTCTTCTGAGTATTACTATTGCTACTACTCATCCGCCTCCTGCTGCTGCTGGCTGTTCCGATACATGTTTGCCTATGAATGTTTCTGATATTCCTGTTGCTGCTGCGATCCCTGCTGCTGCTGCCCATTCCTCACCAACTTCCCACTCTCCTCAACCCTGAAACTCAACCCCCGTACCCTGCAAAACCCAAAGCCCTACCCACCCCGTTTAAAAAACGTAACCAAACGAGCTCCACGCCTCCGCCAGAGTGACCGGCATGGTCACGTCGCCTGCTTGATGTATAGCTTCTTCATGCCAAACACGAGTGCCACATTAGTTGACTGTTCAAATGAAGTAGGTCTTTCGCTTATTCATGGTAACCCCCACATTAACACCCCAAAATGAACATTTAGCAATACTGCAAAGGAGCCCTGTATACACTCACCAAACTCCACAATGTAAAACCTGCTCCTCTAGTTCATTTGAGGGAGACCTGATCCACCTGCGTAAGTCTGATATCAACAGCTGGTGCCTAAGCTTCCAGAAATTCGGTATCCAGGGTTTAACACTGGGTTTAGATGTGCTTGCTGAAGCTAAAGCATCAGACGGGCAGGGGCCACGTGCCGCAAAATGCAGCCTGCATCAGCGGCCGCTGTTCAGAAGCCAGAGTTCTTTCAATCCAAACCCCGAAGAACGTTTTTGGGTTTAGGTCTTAGGGTTTTACGGTTCACCATCAAACCATGAACCCTGAATTCATGAAAACAAATCGTCAAACCTGTGTCCATACAGGCTCTACCCCGCGGCCGAAGCCCAAAAGTCCATAGCCCACGCCGCAATATTTAACGCCTACATCGCGAAGCCCCAGATCTCACTCCTCAATTTCGCGATCTATTCCCCAAACCGAGACCTCCAGCCCATCAAAAGCTTTTCAAAGCCTTCATAACAACGCCCCCCTTCCCCAAAAAAGCACATACCTTGTAAACCCAAGGAAGAAGAGGACCCGGAACCCCAAACCTTACCTCTCAAGCCCTAAACCCCTAAACCCCAAAACCCCTAAACCCCTAAACTCCAAACCCCGAAACTTTAAACCCCCTAAACCCGAAACCACACTCCTGGTTTTTGCCTTCCCTCCTCAGCTCCCCGGGTCCACCTCCAAAGCCCTGGCCCGGCGTTGTCGCCTTCGGCACTCTTTTTTTGTTTTGTTTTTTTGAGGGGGGGGAGGTGTAGTAGTTTAGGGTCTCCTGATGGCTTGTGCAGATCTCCCACATATATATATATATATATATAAAGATAGCGACATCTATATCTATATATATATATATATAGATGTATACACACACCTATATATATATATATATACACACGTGAATTCTATATATATATATATATACACATACATACATACATACATACATACATACATACATACATACATACATACATACATAGGCATGAAACAAGCAGTAGTAAGGGTTCTCATAGGGACTCTTCGAAGGGTTACTTGCAGGGTTACGAGAAGGGTTCAGTATGGTGTCCGTAAGAGTATATTAAAACAGGGTGCGGTGGAGTTTAACAAGGGTGCCATACGGGTTCACGCGGTATTTCACAGCAGCTCTGGAAGGTCTTATGGTGGGGTTGGAGAGGGCTGATAGGGCGGTTCAGACTCTTATGATTTCAGGAGTTAGTTTGCCATTCTTTCAGGCTTTTTGTGAGAATTCTAGAAAGCCTTTTTCAGGGTTGGGGGGCGCTGATATATAATCAGGACCCTAAAGATAATATGGATCCTAAAGTATGGATATTACGGATTCGATCCATCTCAGGGCACCAAACTTTCTGAAACGCGCCTCATCCGCAACTGGGGAACACATACGTAATTTCTAGATTCTGACCCCGAACCTAAGAGAGCAGCTAAGCCCCGTAATCCTTCAACAATACACAATATATAATATATGACTATAATGATACTATAATGTAAACTAGATAGCACAGAATATGTATAGTATCCAACACATAATGCAATATATCTACATGTATACATATAAAATACTACATATGTAACACAATCTGCGCCTGAAGCCAGGGAAGCGGCTTCGGGAAGACGTAGTTCGAACCCACGAGGGGCAAATCCTGGACTCTCGCTGAAGGACAAGGTTCCGGATTTGGGGATTAAGGCTTAGGGCTTATTCCTAGGGGCTCAAAGTTTAGGCCCAGGCGTCCAGGGTTTAGGGCCCCAGGGTTGATGGTTTCGGGTTTAAGCCTTAACGGTTTCGCGCGTTAGGGGTTCAGTCCTGGTTGTATGGTTTAGTGCTCGCGATTCGCGCAGTGGTGTGAAGCAGCGCCCACTCCAAGATGACCCCTAACACTACCTCAACTTGAGCCAGCCAGAGCCTGCCCCTTCGATCTCAAAGTGTAAGCGTGCATCCCATAACCCTATAGCAGGAGCCCTGAGAGTGACCCCAGATTTAAACGATGTTATTTCCTGCATTTTTCTTGGGGACGCGTCCTGCGATGCTGAACCAATTATAGCTCTTCTGGCAACACAAAACAGGCTTGTACCCAGGCATCAGAACACACTTTCACAAAATGCTTCATTTCGTTTGGGGTGCGGCTTCGGAAGCGGAATTGGGGGTTTGAGGCTTGGGGCGACTTTGCACTGCGGCCCAACAAGACCTGCCTTCTGCACGGGCTGCACATCCTGACGGCATCAAAAATGGGCTTCCGGACTCAGTGTTTAGGGCAAGGGTTGGCGTAGGTTTTATTGCATGAGACCTCACAACCCTCCAGCCCCTCGACGAACCGGTGGCCAAGGCTAGGAGGCCAAAGGAGGCGCACTGCCTCCTTGCCGAAGATCAGTCCGCCGATCTGGGTCCTGCAAGGACTGGGCTTCGAAACGAGTTGCTTCTGGGATTTCGTATCATGGAAGTGTTTCAGGGTATCTATTCTGAAAACCCCATGTTCGTGCAAAACCCGTGGGTCATGGCTTGACCGTCCACAACTCGCGCACTACCTGGACCCAAGCCGGCGGTATGACTAAACGAATTCAGCCCTGAGTCGAAAGCCCTGAGCCTGTCCATAAGGAGCCTTTCGGCTGGTCGCGAGAAGATCCTACTTCCTAAACCTCCAAAGCTGCGCGCGGCGTCCTCGGCTGAAGAGGTCCAAGCATCTGCTTAGCAGACCTTGTGCAAGTGTCGTCGTGTGCTGCGGGTGGAAGGTGATGAGGAAAAAACAAGAGCAGCAGTGGGACTAGTCGCTATCGTTGCGGACAGTGGTGGTTCTTGGAGTTAGCGCAGCAGCAGCTGCAGGCTCTGGCAGTCAGTACCACACGACTAGCACCAGCAGCTGTGATTGTTGAAGTCGTCCGTCGTCGTAAGACCGCGATGCAGAAAACCTCTAGCAGTCATCATTAACTCATCCGCACATGACTACCGACGAAAGAGTGGCGGAGGCGTTGTGGAAATTGGGCTGAACCTCGTCTCTGGCGACTTGTTTTAAGAAACGCACGGCTGGGCACCCCTAATCGAAAGCAGTAGGCAAAGTCTTAGCCAAACTTTCGAGCTTGGGGTTCCGGGTAATGAACACCAATCCAGCAATGCATCTTCAGCCAACGCTATTGACTAGCAGACAAGAGCTGCGGCCTTGCGGCACAGGTGGCGGTCAAAATCCGGGCGCCCGCACCCCCCCCCGGACTTGAGCAGAACGATGCAGTGCTTGGGGGCTCAGGGAGACGCAAGTCTAGGGTTCAGGGTAGCAGTCTGGCGCGAGAACATGTATGAGAACCCTACCCACTAGAATCATTACCGTAGTCACAGAAGAAACAGAAAAGAACAACATGAACACACCAGTCAGATCGACCAGAAATCACCCGGTGGTACAATGAAATAAACAGAAGCGGCCCACGACCATCAAGGATTCAAATACTGCAGCCAGACAAAAACCGAGAAAGAAAACAAACCCCAATACTTAAACCCTAACTTGAGCGCTCCCCTACATCCTCCTCACTCAGACCTTCGACCCCATAAAATCCCGAGACCGCAATCCTTTTGCAGCCTAAACAGTTGGGAGGGTGAATTCCGGAATTCCCACACCAATGTCTTTCCCCACTCAACGTCTGGGTTATCTCACTGAGCCTTGATTGCACATTCCAACAACCCGAACCTACTATACCCAACACCCTCAATCCTAAAGAAGGGCCTCAGCCACTCCAAACACATTGAATCTTAAGACGACGCTGGAACTCCGAAGCTAAAGTGAAACCCTACAATCTGCAACGCCAAGAACCCAAAATGGCAACTCCAAGAACCCCAGACCCTAAAACTCCAAAGCCCATAACCCAACAACACTAGATCGTAATGCCTCAACCTTCAACCTTGGGGAACCCACACCTTGAAGCCCGAGATGTCTGAACCAGCAACCCTGAGACCCAAAACAACCAACCCTAAATCCAACACCCATTAAGAAGCATATGCTGACATGCTCTCAGAAATCTGAAAACCTCTAAACTAACAGCCGTAACCCCACCAAAACTCACAACGTCGCCCGTGCTTTCTCTAGCGGCCACGATCCTCACGGGATCCAACTCCTTGCTGTTGTCCTGCAGGAGGCTTCCCTTCGGCCCAGGCAGCTCAAGTCCGAAGACAGCGCCCGGCAGCAAGAAGTGCAGACGTTGATCCTAGATCCTACGATTTCGGGTTTAAGGATACTTGACTTGAGGGTTCTTGGGCCCTTGGAATATCTCACTTCTCTGCGCGGTGCCTGACATGTCAGGAGACGACGAGCTTCTTTGCTGCATCTCAGGAATCCAGCCTCCGGGCTTTGCCTAGCAGTGGCATTTTTCGAGGAGTCAAGGAGCTTCGGTATATATGGTATATTATCATGGTGGTATATTTTGGTATATTATGGTATTGTATGGTCGGGGTTTGCCTACTAGTGTTTCTGTCGTTTTTGTGACAGTTTTGGTTCCTCGTCTTCGCGCGGGTTTAGCGTTGTGGGCTGTTGTGTTCGTATCTGTCTGGGCTCAACGCGTTTGGTAGGGGCTTCACAGTTTTGGGGTCGGGTTGCAAAAGCGCTCTGGGACTTTACGGCTCGAGGGCTTTAAGGGGAAGGGCTGTTCAGAAACCAGAATTTCAAACTCTATAGTCTATCCCGTGCCCTAGGAAGCTGATTTAGGGACTGTCCACTACCTTGGGCTCAGGACCCAAACCTTAAACTCGAAATCCTTCTCTCTACATCCCTAAGCTAAACCACAAACCCAAGAACCCAAAAGCCAAAACCACCCGAAACCCAAAATCTCTGAAGCCTGGAATCGAGAATCCTACCAATTTGGGGGAAGCCAGAAACCCATCAGCCATCGAAGAAAAGAACCTAAAGGTTTCAAACCACCTACCCGTTTAAGGACCTACATAAGGAAATCAACGCCTCTAAAGCAACGTGTTTGTCGCGACAATTCCTGGGGCCCAAGCCAGGGCCTGTCTCCCATTCTGCCGCTTCCTCGCCGGGTACTTTCAAGGCTTCGTTGGCCGTTTCTTTAGGGCTGCTGGTTTAGGGTTTCAGGGCTGTTGGTTTCGAGCTTTAGGCTGTTGGGGCGGCTGCTTCAGAGCTTTCGGGTTTTCACGCTGTTGGTTCGGGTGTTTCGATGGGCTTCGGGGAATTTGGGCTTTCAAATTTGGCCTGGTAATACGGCTGGCAAGTAGGCGCTATGCTCAGGAACCTCTGGCCGTATTCCGAACCGTACTTACTACGTGGCCCCCATGTGCAGTTCAGATCTCTCTGCAGCACTTGCCTTGTGTAGCCTACCGATACCAGGAAAACTCGGTTGCGGCGCCATCACAATTCCGATTCGTCCTAATCTGCTCAAGAGCGCCACATGTCAGAAATAGCATCCTTGCATGGTCCCATAAGCCCCACAGCTCCAAAGCCAGAGAAGTCCAAGGAGTCCGATATCTGAACTTTGCAAACCGGGATGGATTCAAATTCACGGCTAAAGATGGCCAGAAGCCACCTGGCAAGTCGACCCTGTCCCTAGTAACATGGGCTCACTCGCATTTCAGTCCGAGATGAAAAGTAGGTCTCTTTTCGAGCCTTCCCCCCGTCTGGGCCGCAGACATCCAGGCTTCTTTTCGTCGGCTCCGGTCCTGGATCTCCTCGAACGCCTGCCGAAAGAATATGGGAGTTTCCGAAAATTAGGGGTACCCTATTTGGGGGTCCTTTTCAAACAGGGATCCTACTATTTGAAGTACTGTATTAGGGTCCCCTATTTTCGAAAACTCCCATATGCTGCTAGTCATGATGATGACTTGGGCTGAGACGATGACTACGAGGGGAACCATGATGTTGATGAGCGACAAGAAGCAAGGACGAGGAAAGTCGAAGGGACCTGACACTTTGAATAGGGGCCTTCATAATCAAAACAGGGTTTGGGGGCAAATTTTCTAGTGCTGTTATATCATGAGTATAGAAGGACAGTAGCGGGTTACTGTTGCTAACTACAGTATTCCGACCGCTGTCCTGGTTACCAGTGGTGATGAGCTTGACCATCATAACCAACATCAGCATCATCAGCATCACAATGAAGACGATGATGCAAAGGAGGAAGAGAAGGAGGGGGAGCGCGACGACGACGGGCAAGACGGCGGTGGTGCGTGATAGGGTTGAAACTAACTGACGCCTGTGGCAGTGGTACAGCATCTAACGAGCACAGATGCCCAATTTCCTAAACGTACACACCGCAAATCGCGAACCCCCAAACCCCTAAACCCCCCACCCGAAAAAACCCTCGAACACATAACACCTTGAACGACATAAAATCCCAATACGCCCTAAACCCGCCTAGCAACATGGTGCCCTTGGCGTTCTGCAGGATTTCCAGCTCCCCGCTAAGACGGCGCTCTATCCAGTCCTCCCAGGGGGTCTCTCTGCGGGTCCCTGCCTATATAGGAAGGCCCCATAAAACGGTGTCCATTAAAGGGCTTGGCAAGATTTGTTCCAAAATGTACCGTCCAGTGTTACGGCTGTTACAGATAAGTGATTCGGGTTTGGGCTTCAATGTTTACAGAGTGAAGGGTCATGCCGTGAAAATCTTTTCGAGAAGGTGCAGTTGTCTTTCTCGGCTAGTTTATACTCGCTGGTGGGGGAAGAAGAAGGGGGCATTTGTATGCAGACCGTAGCAGATCCTAAGCCGTAAAGCGCAAGACGTTGGATGCTCGAGGCTTGCCACGCACCGAAAAAGGGGCCAAAGCGCGAACTAGGATCTCAAGCCTAGAACGAGCTTAAGTCTTTACAAACTTGAAAAATGAACATGACAGATTAGGGACTATAGGGTTTCAAGTTTCATGACACAACACTGACCTGCGAGTTGCCTTCTACATTGTAGCAACACAAACGAACACCAACAATTGCGCTCAGCGTCTACACACTGAAACGCAATCGTACATATTGAGTCCTACCACCCAGCCAGCCTTCAGCGCCAGCGTTGGCGGCAGTGTCTGGCGACCTGGTTTGGGTGGGTTTGTGGGCGGGTGGGTGGGCGGGTGCTCTGCTAATTACTAGGAACTGGAAAGCAGTGAACAGGAATAACCCACAATGTGGCCATGCTAAGCAAGACCCAAAACCATCGCATGTTTCGCTCCCACAATCGACACGGCATAGCAACTCGGGATAGCGCACCCCCAAAGTTGCTTGACCGGCGCAATTGAGCGGAGGCGCATAGAGAGTCGGCTGGACGGGCACACACATCTTCTGAGTAAGAAAGAGGCCCCGGCTGGACTATAATGACGCAGTGAGCGCATGAGAAAAGATGATATGTTTCCTCCATAACCAGCACCCGAAGCACTCAGCTCTCTGCAAACTGAGGGTGCCACAGCGCTTTATCGTTGGATCCAGCATGGCTTTGGACAGGGGTGGACGATCCTTCCGGTCGTCACGGACGTCACAGAGGGCTTGGGTTGTTCACGACGGGATTTGTGTTTCCGATGTAAGGGCTCAGGTTTGGTTCTTGAGCTTACCGTGCTCAGGTTGCTAAAGTACAACCATCAGCTTAAACTGCCCGGGCATCTAGATGCTTATACTACTAGCAATAAAGGAGCGATGTCGGATAACCATAACCAGAATAACCGTGTACCTGACATGATAACTCAGACATACTAGTGTCAACCATGCTGCTCTTCGTGCCAGTTCTATGGCAAACTGCCTTTGGCTGTGCAGACGATAACCAAGGAAATCACGGTTGCAGACGTAGTAGTAGTAGTAGTAGTAGTAGGAGTAGTAGTAGTAGTAGTAGTAGTAGTAGTAGTAGCAGTAGTAGTAGTAGTAGCAGTAGTAGTAGTAGTAGTGGTGGTAGCACTAGTGGCAGTAGCAGTAGCAGTAGTAGCAGTACTAGTAGTAGTAGTAGTAGTAGTAGTAGTAGTAGTAGTAGTAGTAGTAGTAGCACTAGTAGGCAGTCGTGGTAGTAGCAGTAGCAGCAGCAGTAGCAGTTGTAATACCAGCAGCAGCAGCAGGGTAGCATTAGTAGTAGTAGTAGTAGTAGTTGTTGTTGTAGCAGTAGCGGCAATAGTACTCGTAGCAGTAGTAGCAATAGCAGTAGCAGTAGCAGTAGCAGTAGCAGTAGCAGTAGCAGTAGCAGTAGCAGTAGCAGTAGCAGTAGCAGTAGCAGCAGTAGTAGCAGTAGTAGTAGTAGTAGCAGCAGGAGTAGGAGTAGTAGGAGTAGGAGTAGGAGTAGGAGTAGAAGTAGGAGTAGGAGTAGGAGTAGGAGAAGGAGAAGGAGTAGGAGTAGGAGTAGGAGTAGGAGTAGGAGTAGGAGTAGGAGTAGGAGTAGTAGTAGTAGTAGTAGTAGTAGTAGTAGTAGCAGTATTAGCAGTAGTAGCAGTAGTAGCAGTAGTAGCAGTAGCAGTAGCAGTAGCAGTAGTAGTAGTAGTAGTAGTAGTAGTAGTAGTAGTAGTAGTAGTAGCAGTAGCAGTAGCAGAGCAGTAGCAGTAGCGATAGCAGTAGCAGTAGCAGCAGTAGTAGTAGTAGTAGTAGTAGTAGCAGCAGCAGCAACAACGGTGGCAGTTCGAGTGCAAGCAACTCAGGCAACAATAGCAATAGTGGGAAAACATTGTACAATGCTGGTCATCCTGATGCAACAGTGGTCAGCAGCAAAAGTTTGGGACTTGCAATCATGACCGTGAGAGTGGTAGTCATCGCCACGTAGCAACGATGGCAGCAGCAGCAATACAAATCAAGCAAGTCCAACCTAGCAATGGAACACTTCAAGTTGAAATGAAGATAATCCTACAAAAAAAGACAACGATGACGGAGACAATGCGCAACTTGAGCAGTACAGTGATGCAGCTGTTGCTCAATCAACAACTCAAGTCATGGTGAAGCAGAAGGCATCCACAGCATCCTCTCCTCAGAGGAAGGACGCCCTCCCTTGATCTTATTGCAGTTCCGAGTTGTTAGCCGTCCAACCGGCATTAAACCCAGCTCTCCTCGCCGGTCCAGTGTTCCATGAAGGTCAAAATGGCATCGCGAAGCTCCTCCTGGCAAAGCTGAAGCAAGATGCACTGGGGTCCCACGCTTCACATTCTCTAGTGTTTTGGTGCCATTCGGTAAGCCTTAAACTTCACGGCGCAACTACAAAAGTGTTGTCGGGAAGAAAGCTAGTATGGAACGCCTGTCATCCACCTATCCTGTCTACACGAACTCAGTCGACTCAGTGCTTTATCAGGCAGATAGACTGCACATGCCGTCTCTTGTATATGCATTGAACCATTGCGCAGCTGGCACAAGCCCGGCAAAGAACAGAAGAAACATCGCTTGTTGCTGCAGCAACAACATCAACAACCAAAGCAGCGACAGCGCCAAGAAACGACCAGAGCATCGAGGGAACAAACGCTCCACCAAAACCAAAAATTTAGCCCCAAAACCCGAAGCTCGACGACAAGCCTGTGCAGTCAGCATCAAACCACTTTAGAACCGCAAAGCTCGAAATATTCCCAAGCCCTAAACCCTATTTCTGTCCCCAAATAATTACTGCTACGATTCCTATTACTGTTATTTACTACTACTATAACTATTGCTGTTATTGTTATTAGTATTATTATTACTTACTATTACTATTATTATTAGTGTTATTCTTACTTACTATTACTATTATTAGTACTATTACTTTTACTATTCCTATTCCTATTCTGTCCCGAAGCCCTGGCCTCGCCATCTGTGAGGGTCTCCACTGGAAGACTCTGGAAAAAGCTTTCCGCCGTCCGCTTGTGGTCTGGAAGCCCATGGAGATTTAGGGTTTAGGGTTTAGGAAGTTATAGTATACGATACATCACCGGGAGAGCCCCTGTAAAAGTTATAGTATACTAGATAGACGTCACCGGGAGAAAATTTCGACATGCGGAGGGTCTTATCAATATGTCCTAAACATATACCGCGGAGAAGCGGAGCGGCCGCAGGTCCGTTTTGTGTGGCCAGCATGGCGGAGTAGTTAATTTCCTGTAATAAAACTATACTACTACAATGTTCTCGGCAGAGAGCTTCTGGGATCTTGCGGAGGAGTCTGAGGGGGAAAGGGGGTTGTAGTGTCTCATGTGTTGACTTCGAGGCCGTGTGGCGAACCTTCGTCCTGCGGTAGTACATGGTACCGCAATTACCGAGAAGCGATGGAAGTGTCAGGTTTTGGGGTGTGACAGGGAATTGGACTCAGGAATTTGGTGGGGCCAGTATTTCCTAACCCTAAACTCCATAAATCCTGACCCTTCAGGACTTTGGTGGGGCCGCTATGTGCCATAACCTTAAAGTGTATCAGCCCGAGCCCTTAGGAAATAATACCTTGTCTGAACATGAGATGTTAGTGATTTGCTAGTTGCAAAAGTGTCAAACAACAATTTGCATTCCTTGTCTGAACATGAGCTATTAGTGAATTGCTAGTTGCAAGATTGTCTTACAACAATTTGTGGAACAGTTGAACTAAAAGGGGGAGTTTGGGAATCAAGGGATTCCGCTGCCTTTTGTGCCAAGGTCATGTCATGTGACAAGCTCGAAACCAATGAATCACTCGATACCGCAATTTCAAGTCAGATTTTGGGAAAGCATGCGCCTGCATCTTGTAGTTTTCCAACACTTCAACTTGTAATTCGCCAACAATAGCTTGCACCTCAACCCGGCAAGCGAAACCAAATCCTGCAGGGCAGCACACCGAGGCAGAACCGCCCCGCCACGGTGAGGATGCAAAAGCATGTGATCGGATGACCAAGTGACAAGGAAGATGTATCATGCAGAAGACCGAAACCCAGCAGCAAATAGACTGAAGGGCCAATGTCCAAGTAGACCTAGCAAACAATGGCATGCCACACCTACTAACAAGGAACACAAAAAGGGCCCATAAGCACTCCGAACCCTCAGAAAGCCAATGCGGCCTGGCGCGATGTCGCCATTCTGGGCTTTGGCCTTACCAGCTTTGCCTTTGCCTTTGCCTTTTGCCATGTTGCCTGAGCACACATCTGAGTTTGCGTCAGGCTTCAGGAAATCTGCTGCGGGAGAATCCAAGCAATCTTCATGTTCATGATTTTATGTTTACCTTTTCTATGTTTCTCGTGCACCTAAAACCCGGCAGTTCGTGAAGCAGTTGGACATTGAGTCGTTCTTGTCTCGCCAGGTTTGCGCATGCAGCGATCGGGTGTAAGTACAGAAACTGCATCGCCACCCAAAAGGGCCGCATGATTGGGGAGTTTGAGAATTCAGGGACCCACAATATCGCAACCTAGCCGACGTCATAAGGTATTCACACGCTCCCGGAGATACCCTAAACCCTAAACCCTCCAAATCCTCCAAGACCCTCCCTGCGCAGCAGAGAAAGCGCTAACCCGGAGATTCTTTAAAACCCGAAAACCTGTCCAAAACCTTCCAACAGCTACTTGTTTTGTCGGGCTTTTTCCATTCCATATGGGGTTTTATAAGTTTTTATTTATAGCAAGAACTAGAAAAAAGGTAGGCTCTGGTAGTCCAAGGTAACCGTACATTACATAAAACCACGTCAAGAATAACGGGAGCCCCGGGCGTGGAGGTGACTCCTCAGGAGGAGGCTCCTCCTGCATGGATGCGAAAGTGACGTCCCGTCGTGGGAGGTGCAGCCAGCAAGAACTTTCAGGTTCCAGGGTGTGGGATTTAAGGGAATTTAGAGTTTCTTGGGGTTCGGGGGTTAAGGGTTTCAGGTTTGGGAATTTGGGAAGCATTTTCAGGGACGCTGCCGTCTTCGCAGAACGGCTACTAGATCTTGAAGATGACAACGACCCGCTCGTCGTGTTAGACGGACTTGGCGGCATATTCTACGGTTCTACATAGAGGGAGCGGCTCTGCCGTGCCATGTCAACGCTGTTCAGGCCCTTCAGCGTTGGGGCTTCTTAGCCTCTTACATTCAGGTTTGGGTAAGCTCTGGGGACTTTAGAGCTTAATGGCGGGTTGCAGGTTTTACAAGCTTCTTCTTTGACTTTCTGGCTCTTCCGGGTGTAGGGCTCGCCATATTCACATTCCCCACCAAAGCTCCGACAAGCAAAGGGACAAAAGGTCAAAGGACCCAGGCCCAGAGTTTCGTGATCTAGATAGAGTTCAGGATTTGTGGTCTTGGTTCTGGTCCGGCTCTATAGCTGTTAGAGTTTAGGGCTTGCGGCGCAAAACACTAGGCCCTCTAAACTCAAAGATCCTAACAGGGTCCTCCTCAGCAGCATTGCGGGATCGCACCTGCTCGTCCTCCGTTACCTCAACCTCCGGAGTCTTTAATCAGGATTTCAAGGGTGCTAGAAAGGGTTAATTGAAGGATTCTACACTGGGTTCTTTAAGTTTTCATTGCTCAGGAAGGACTTTAGGGTTTTTTGGTCGAGGGCTTGTGTAAAGTTTTGGGTTTGGGGTGTCGGGCTTAAGGTTTGGAGCTTTCGGGTCTTCGGTTTGGGCCTTGGGGTTTAGGGTCTTTTTGGGGGGGGTTTAGGGTCTGGGGTTTGGGGCTGCAGGCAGACTTGTAAGTCCTTCAGGGCCGGGTGCGCTCCAGCGCACGAGCTTGCAAGAGGCCAAAGCTGCAACACCGAAAACACAACCTTGTTTCAAGATTCGAATCCTAAAGACGTGACACCTGTACCCAAGAAGCCTTAAATAAACCCCATCAAAACCATCCCTGAACCTATGAAGGCCCCTGTTGAGGGGATTTTCAAACACCTGGTAGAATCCGGACAAAAACCTTTCAGAAACCATGTGGGAACCCTGCTAGAGGCAGTCCTCACCACCGATTCGGCGGTCTATCCAATCACGCAGCGGCACCTTTGTCGAGAGCCGGTCGAGGTTGAATAGGAAATATGGTTGTGCCCCGGCCGCAACCCCCTCATGGTAGCTTTCCCCCGCCCAACTTGTCGAATGCCAACTTGGGAGTTTAGTTCCCCTCCCCGTGAGGAACGGTTGGCCTTAGGCCTTCCCTCAAGGTTCCGCGTGTGGTCATCCCGCCTCCGCCTGTGCGGAGCTGTTACTACTACCACCATGAGCACGACCACTACCACAGCCATTGCGACTACGACTGCTGCTGCTGCTACTTCCTCTACCACTACCACTACCACTACCACTACCACTACCACTACCACTACCGCTACCGCTACCGCTACCGCTACCGCTACCCGTACCGCTACCGCTACCGCTACCGCTACCGCTACCGCTAGCGCTACCGCTACCGCTACCACTACCACTACCACTACCACTATTTCAACTGAGCGCTGCGCGAGCGTGCTCTGCGCTTTGCGGGCGCCTGTGCTCCCGTGCACTCGTGAGACTCTTGAGACTCAGACTTGCATCCATCGCTCTACTATCGTCTCAGAAACGGCTCTACTAGAGTGAAAAGAAAATCTGCGCTTCCTCCGCCACCCCCTTGTAAGCTGACGCGTCCGTCACTCACCTGCCCACAGCAATTGGGACGTACTCCCGAAGGAGCCGACTCCTCGAGTTCCCGTCTACCGGCGTCCCACACTAGGTAACTCATGCTGCGAGCAAAAGGGCCGTAAGGGCTCGGTTGTGTCAGAGTACCTGCAGTGCGGGGAGGCTGCTCTTACCTTCTGTCACAGCGTGCTTCGAGTGGAGGCGGCATGCGACGAGCCGACTGTTTTCATCAAGGCTCACGCGCTGCAGAGGCGCACCTTCTGAAAAGATTGCACTGCAGTCAGAAGAAGCTTTCATTTAGTCCCGGAGGCTGTGCCATGTGGGAGCATGCGAGGCTGTGCCTGGCTGCTTTTGGAAGAAAAGGCAATTAAAGTGCCGGATCACTGATTGTGGCCGCGTGGCCAGTGCTGGTACGGGTGGTAGTAACCGCCCCAGTTCCACTGCTGCCACTGCCAGTCCCAGTCATCATCGTGCGAAGGTTGGGCTGGTCTGGTCCATTGGCTTGAAGAGGATGAGGAGGGGGCGCTGTGTCGTGGACGCTTGCCATCCGAATCGTCGTCCCTCGCTTGAGGTCTCTTGGCTGGAGCCGAGGCAGATTTTGCGACCCTTCTTTCCTCCTCGATGCCCTTGCTGTGCTCGATCTTCATCTTCATAACAGTCTGAGAGTCTCGAGTGGGCTTGACCCTGAACATGCGCGCTTGCAGTCCAGCAGATTTAGCCGCCTCATTGTAGACCGTCATGATAGAGGTCGCGATCAGGTTGAACTCGACCTTCGTGGGGAAGTGCCGCTGAAAGTCTTTCTCGTCCCACATCCTATTGAAGCAGGCGTGAATGAGGCCATGCACTTTGGTCGGCGCCTCAAGCTCACTGTAGGCCTCTCCCGTGCCAGTTGTTATGGTGACACGGCCGTGCTGAGCTAGGACACGACGGACAGACATGGCCAGGTCCCAGGTAAGGCCCGTCTGTGTTTTCACCTTCTTAATGGCCGAGAAAAGCGGCGGGACCTTGCTGAGGGCTTCCATTCTCGAAGTCCACAGCGGTTGCTGTTCCTGATTGGAAAGACCTCCAAGGATGACCGGCGTGACCAAAATGTTGACGGTGGCGAGTGCCCGTATCCAGTCTTGGTGCGAAGGTGACCCCAGCATCTGGACCAACTCTTGCCTGGAGTAAGAGATCTCCTTCGTGGGCGTGGGCTGCTGCACGTATCCCACCTGTGGAGCATCTTTGGCAGGAGGTTCACCACTACCACTACCACTACCCGTACTGCTACTGCTAGTGCTAGTGCTAGTGCTAGTGCTAGTGCTAGTGCTAGTGCTACTGCTACTGCTACTGCTACTGCTACTGCTACTGCTACTGCTACTGCTGCTACTGCTGCTACTACTACTACTACTACTACGACTACTACTACTACTACTACTACTACTACTACTACTACTACTACTACTACTACTACTACTACTACTACTACTACTACTACTTCTACTACTACTGCTACTTTCCTTATCCCGAACCGTCATATGTAAACTTAACCCTCCGGCCGGAACTCGAACTCTCAAGCATAAACCCTAAGGTTGAGTAAGCGCTAAACCCTGAAGCCACCTCATCCGGAAGAAACTTCCGCTTGACCGCCAGCACCTTCGGGGTGTGACCTCACTGTGCATGGCATGAGTGCCCTGATTTTTAGTTTTGCGGCTTTGACGGAGCTACGTGAAACGAGAAGGACACAGGAGTGTTAGGCGAAGCCTACTGCAGAAGTCCCTATGCTTGTGCGCATTCTTGCGCTACAAGCAGACTTTTCGAGATCATTGCCTCCACCCTTTCCTTCCCTGCTACGGCGGCTCCCAGTATTGCTGCCAAATGCGACGGAACCTGAAATTTCAACACCCCCCAGCCAAAGACTTCAGCATCTAACAGCCCGGACTGAGCCGGTGTCCCGACAACCCAAAGGCCTCACTTTAAGCCTGCATGGTTTTGATGCCATGCAAAAAAGCCAGACAACATTTCAGAACCGAATCGCCTAGCAAAAGCTCTTGATCGTGAAACCCCAAGGCCCTAAACCCCAAACGCCTTAGCCCCAAAAATGAAACCTCACAGTACTCCTTGTGATAGCTCTTATAGTAACCTTAAAGCAGCCCGTATAGTTTCCGTATAACCTTAAGGCAGACGCTCACGTGGCGCAGAGGCATTGGACTTGACGACACCAACTCGAGCACCTCACGGCTTCCGGGTGGCGATAAGGATTCCTACAGGGGCCTTGTTTATAGTGGTTTTTGGGTCCCGTTTGGGGCACCTTGAAAAGGCTCTAAACGGGTTCCTGCCATATGGTGTAGGCATACTGGGGTTCACCGGGCCTTCGGGGTCTTCAAAGGGTGCCCCTCAGGCCACAAGGATCTTAGGCACCCCAATCCTAGCCCCCCAGCATCTGGTGATTAAGGCCTACCTGGACAGCAACAGACCATGGAAAGTGTTGGGCCATTTTTCTACCTACTTTCTGGGGTTCGGGAATGGTATATGCAACAGTGCATTTCAGAGTAGTGGCAGTATGAAGTACGGAGCCTTCCATTGGCCCTGTCACAGGCAAAGTCTGCTTTTTGACGATTGCTGTCACAGCATGTTCATGATATCATCCTAACCCATGCTGCATGGGCCGGCGCGCTCCAAAAGCCCAAACCCTTAAACCCCTGGCCCTAAACCCCGACACCGGGGCTGCGACTTTCTCCCTGAGCTCGAGCTCCTGATGCTCTCAGGAATGCCAGCTCAAGGTCTGCAGGGCTTTGGGATTCCTTGAAGGGGTTCTAAAAAGGTTCTTTGAACTAAGGGTTCCTATAGGTCGTGCAGAATGTGTTAACATGTTGGGATTTAAAGCACTTTTTACCTAAAACACACGCTAAAAGTGCAGCTTCAGATACCCCAAGCCGCCGCCTGCGCCACTAAGGGGTACAAAGATGGGCACCATCTGTGGCGCGGAGATTAGGAATGGCCCGAGTGGGTGTCCTTGTTCCGAGGAAACAAACCACTGAAGATCAGGAGGACGCTTGGACTCTTGGTCTCTATGCTTGTTTTTGGGAGGCTTCGGGTAACCTCAGGCAGGCTCTTGACCCTCAGGATCTGTGAAGGTTCGAACTTTGGGGTCTTGGGGTTCCGGACTGAGGACGTCAAGGTGTTCTTCGAAATGCAGACCTTGAACTACAAATCCTTACAATCCGTCCCTAAACTCAAAACCCTGCATCCCAGGTACGGCCTCATCGGTCAGCGCATCCTGGGGCAGCTCATCCAAGATTGCGCTGGCATCCTGCACCAGCTGCGTCTTTTGTTTTCAAGGCGTGCGCTTTAATCTGTTCGCCCTTTACCCCAAACCACAAGGGCCCGCCTGAAGGGCCAGATAGAGAATGTGGCTAGGAAGCAGAATTGAAATTGGAAGCCTGAACCCCAAACCCAAATCCTTGGTGAGTTTTGTTTCAGGAGGTAGCCCTGGCCGTTGAGGATAAAGAGCCCATACCACTTCGAAGGCGCTATAAGGGCTAGTATCAGGGTTCTGTCAACGGTCCTATACAGGGTTCTACTACAAGGAGATTTAGGATTTGGAGTTTCACGGCAATCACGATCTGACCTTCCGGAATAGACTCAAAAACTATGCTGAATATGTGAAAGTATGACCAATCTAATTCTCAAAAAGAATATACGTTTTGTAGGCGCGAAATAGTCAGAATAGGTTTTGGGGTTCCCTTGAACTTAAACTCGCAACCCTACCAAGCCCGAAACATCCTGAAACTCCACGCTACAGTTTCGGCCGCATGCCTCAAACTCCCGAAACAGAAACCGTGGTCCTGCGCTGGTTCAGGCTCTGCACCTTCTGCCGGACCTGTCGATGTCTGCAAAAGTCTGTATGTCTGTGCTCATAAGCATGTGTGTCTCCACATGTTTCTGTATTTGTATATGTGCATATGTATTGCAGGATGTGTCTGTTTGATTATCTAGCCACTCATCAATCATCTCCTAGCGTCTCTAGAAGGTCTAGCATCAACCGTCATTTCATTGTAGCAGCTTGTTTCCTCATTGTTGCAGTTTTTGGCATCTCGCAACTGATCTTGAACAATAACGTTATTTCTGGCCGTGTTCTTCTACGGTCGCTTGGCCCTCAAAGCCCTGAGCGCTAAAGCTGTCCAAGCCAGGGGTCTCAGGATGTAGGGCTTCGGGTGGGTTCTAGGGGTGTGGGGATTCATGTCGGACGCCGACGCTCCGCGGAGATGTTCGGAGGGCATCCGTGACATCAGCCCATCATGCGGTCTTGATTTAGGAAGCTTCCAAGAAAAGTCCAGCACAAAATAGCACATACAGCCGCATATGTCGCAGATTCCTATTCGTCGGCAAGCCGTTGCGTCCCAGACCCTCCGCACAATCTCACCAAACCCGCAAGTCTCCGAATCTACTGGAGGCTCAGGCCCTGAACCCTCAGCCGAAACCGTAAATCCTAAGACTGACAAATGCGAGTTTCCGAGAATTAGGGGTACCTTATTCTGGGGTCCTTATAATGAGGATCCTACTACTGTATTTAGGCCAATGCATTAGGGCCCCCTATTTTAGGAAACTCCCTTATACAACCCTTACAGATTCCCTTATAGCACCCTTATAGATCCCTTATAGCACCTTATAGATCCCTTATAGCACCTTATAGTTCCCTTATTGTAACCCTTATAGATCCCTTATAGCACCCGTATAGTTTCCTCACTGTAACCCTCATAGGTCCCCTAGTTTCGGACACTCCCAAATCAAGCCCTGGGCCCCTTAGCCGCCGACTCCGCAGCAAGATTTCGAGCTGCCCCTTCCTTGATTTAGGGGCCTCCCTTTAAAGGGGTCTGTAACGGATCTATAGTAGGGTTATATAATATAGGGGCCTTAATGATTCGAACATGGTTTTGGTGCTCATGATACATTAATAAGAAAAAGCAACCCCAAAATATTGTTGGTAATTATTAAGGCCCCTTTCTTAGACGACTGGAAGGCGGATGCTCAAAGCCTTGCAGCTGAAGAGATCTAAGTAGGGTTTGACTATTTTGAGGCTTATGGCCTCAGGGTAAGGGCGGCTGGGGTTCAGCAGCAGATGCGTTTTAGAGTTTCGGGAAGCTTTGCTTAAAGATGACTATGGTTGGCAGAGGGTAGCCCGCAAGCTTCATGTCATATAGTCTATACATACATACGTACATACATACATACATGCATACATCCATGCATGCATGCATGCATGCATACATACATACATACAAGTTGCATGTGCACTGGTTCTGACTCCGTGTAGTCTTAGACATCATCGCCAGCGCAATTGGCACCTGCAGCCGTCTAGAAGTCGCGTTTCGTGCCGCCCATCTAAGGGAGGTACGTGCGGCAAAGACTCGCGAATCCGGTTTTAAGAAAACAAAGCGCCATTCGTCTTAAATCCAGCTCAAAGGCTGCTGATGCCGCTTCAAGATCCTGACAGCTTGGCTTGACAGATACGATTCGCGCCTCCAAGTCTTAGGCCCGCCTAAGTCGAGAGGTTTGAACCATACACACTAAACACCCTAAACCCTGATCCTGCCGCAAATGCCGCAATGTTTTCGATCTGCGGATTACGGCTGTTCCCTTGGCCTGACAAGCTCCTTTGGCAAGCACTACTTTGATGGCTGTCCGTGTATAATCAGAAAGGCTTTTGCGAATCTATGCACATCCACAGATACCAGATGAAATCAAGGAACTACGGTAAATAAAGAGTAGAGCACCTGTACAATTCCCGAAGCTCGTGCCATTAGCCCCTGCTGCCGTGCGTCTGATTGCTTCGTATCTCGATCTCGCCACCTATCCTGGCTTCCACCCACTCCTGCCAGTCTCGATGCTCTTGTAGGAATCTGAGACGGTGCCCAGAACGGTAACCCCATGTCTTACGGCTGGCCTTAAACACTAAAACCATCTACAACCTAAAACCCCAGACCCTGATTGTTCGTCTCCGTATGAGACCTTTCGAAAGAGGCACCTAGCTGCCTGGCAGCACAGTGGCACACACGGGAAACAGCACTTAAAGGACCGGGTGGCTTAGTACAGACGCAGCTTTTGTTGGCATGAGTTTAAATTGTTTTGGGGGTCATGATCCGGTTGTAAGGACTGGATACATGCGGCCCTACCCTAACCCTAAACCGGCCCTATCCGTCCTGAAGAGTGACGGTGGTGGGTAGGAGCTTCTGCCGCAGCTTGAGGATCTGGGGGTTCAACGCGACCTTGGAAGTCGAAGCTTGCTTTTATGGGGGGGTTTAGGGTTGGGTTTGGGGCCTTTAGGGGTTCAGGGTGTAGGGTTTAGGGCTTTACTTGTTGGGTTGCTTATAAGTACTATCAAGGCTACCGTGATAGGGGAGGAGTTCAGGGCTTAGTTGTAGCGCGGTTGCTATGCAGGGCTTGACTGTGATGGGAGGCCAAAAGGGGGGTTTAAGATTCTTGGGGTGGGGATTCCTTAATATGACCCCTATTATGGGGACCCTAATCCCTTCTAAACCCCCATAGGCTAAAACCCCTTTTGGCCTTTTATGTAGGACCTCTAGGTATATACCCTTAATATAGCTGTTATATACCCATTATATAGCCCACTATAGGGTAGGGGTCCCCATTAAGGGTCCCTCATATGAGACTGGTCTCTTGGCTTTTTCTGCTCGGAGCCTCAGGTCGCGGCATCGGTGAGCAAAGGCGTAGCACTGCCGCCTTTCCCTTTGCCGCTGCCAGGCCTTGGGAAGTTCAGGGTTTAGGAGTACTGAGTAATTACTGTAAGGTTTCGTGTTGGGGTTGTTTTCCTTGAGGATTTAGGGTTTAGGGTGGCCTTGGGGAGTACATCACAGAAGGCTCCGCACTGAGATGGGAGTTTCAGATCACAAAGGGGCCCTAGTACAGACCCTGGCTAGGGATCCTATACTTAAGCATCGCTTACAAAGCAGTCTCATAAAAAGGTATAAAGAACACACAAGACTCTTCAATCTCAACCCTATCAAATCCCTATGCGAATCGAAAACCCTAGTACAGGAAGGCATAAACCAGTAGACTAGGCTCTTCTGCGGGGCTTTGTACTACGATCAGCCTAAGGTTGAAAAAACATTACTGGACCTGAGGGTGTGAGCGTGTTGAGGGTTTGTTTTGGTTTTGGTGTTGTCCAGGTGTTCATGTTCATGTCACTATTCGATAAAACCTCAGTAACCATAATCGCCCCGGAAGAAACCTTCACAGCTGCCCTACTAGTAGGGGGAACCCTTACAGAATCAGCACCTCAGCCAAAGCACTAGAAGACCACGGCTCCGAACTCTTCTTCGGGTCAAGCAACGACCAAAGGCTGTTTGTAGGGCTTTCGGTTATTTTAGAGTCTATAGGATTCTTGATCCGGTTTCTTCTCGAGTTGTGAAGGGCTTTTTGTAGGGCTGTCTGGGACGTTGTAGGAACCTTAACTAGGGTTCTTTACCTTGGCTTCTTGCAGGGTTTTGAGGGGTTTCAAGGCTTGCTTCGGGCGACTCTGCAGCGACTGCAGAGTCATCGAGGATGTAGGGTTATCGGGTTTAGGGTTTCACGTTTAGCAAGCCAAAGATAGGAAAACAAACCTAGCACCCCACACACACACATACACAAACACACACATGCACGCACAGAGACAGACAGAGCGCTTCACACAACCTCCACCAGACCATAGACAGATCCAATATCAAGCAAGAGCCGCCTCCACGACTCAATCCAGAAAAGAAGAGCTTCGCGCAATGCGACCTCGTCGCCTTCGCAGTGAGTCGAGGATATGTCGGAAGGAATCCGCAGGATCCCTAATCAGGATATCGGTGTCCAGATAACAACCATGATCTCAACTTGCAGCTGAAACAAACCATAACACAACGAGTTGGCGTGTCTCTTCATTCGGACTCCACGTCCGCTCCCCTGAAGGCAACACGCGCATGATTGCCTAGTAATAGTAGGATTGTGCGACTGCAAGACTTAGAAGGGATGCAGGTTGTGCACAGCACAATGAGTGCGTCTGCCTTTTGTAAGTAGTGCAGTTGTCTATGCACCCCTTCGTTCTTGCAGTGGGAACAGCAGTATGACTTGGTTGTGATCGTCTGACTGCAGGACTGCAATAGAAGTGGGTCATCCGAACCTTCGGTAGCCCGGAAGCTCTCATAGGAACCCTTGAGGTAACCCTTTTTGAGGAGGGGCTGGAGCGCACACGCTCTCTTGCCTTTATGCCCCAAACCCCACAACTACCCCGAAACCCTCGAAACGTTTGATCACCCGCCCTAGGGTATTTGAGAGGCAGCTTCGGAACGTGCTCCCGCAACTGCAAAGCCGAAATAATACCGGCATCCTAACTAAGTACAACATGGAATTTCAGTCTCGGATACGAAAGCTCTACATACATGAGGGCTACATGGAAATACTGTTGTGCGCTCAACGGAGGTCAGGTACCTTATTCTTGAGAGCTGAACCTTTGGAATAGAGTTTTGTGTACTTTATGTCAGAAAGATACGGTGAACATAAGGGGATCGTGGGTCTAGGGTTTAGGGTTCATGGCGGTTTCGGGTTTTAGCGTGTAGAGCTTTCAGTCGCCAGTGCTCCGTCTACACTCACCGAAACTCGTAGTCACCACCACGGCTTAGGGTTTACGGTTTAGGGCTTAGGGTGTAGGGGTTTAGGGTTTAGAGTTTAGGATTTAGGCATTTAGGGTTCAAGCTGTCGGAGTAGGAGCCCGAAGCGACCCTAAACCCTCTGTCAGGCCCAGAAACTTGAAAGTGTCCGGCCTGTCAGCTCGTCGCCAGGCAGGCTTTCCAGAAATGCCTCTTTGCCTTGCAGGCCGGTAGCTCCAATAGTTACTATGCGTTTCCGGATAGTTTGGGGAGCCGAAGTCTGGACTTGGGGTTCATGTTTCACCAGACATGCGGATGCTCGGAACCTGCAATGATGTTTGTTCCAGGCAAGGAGGGAGTTTTGCGGGTGAGCTGGGAATCGTGAACATATGTAGTAAAAGCCGTCACAAGCTCGGACCGCGAAGCAAGACCTCCAATCGCTTACACAATCCATATCGGGCGAGTCTATATAAGACTTGCTGTCAAAAGGCCATATTGAGTCCTGCCGACGCTGCAATCTTCCATCATACTCAAACAACCTGGGGATGCTTCGATGATCTGCTCTGAAGCTTGCGCAGAACAAAACCGCAAGGAATCGACGACCACGAGACCTAGCCCGCTTCCCAAAGACCTACGCCGTATGTTATGATATAGTCATTGCCTAAAGCCTAAACCCTTCGTCTTGGAATGAGCCCGTGGCTCGGAGGTGGCTGCTTCCCTCCTCCCTTTGCACCCTGCAGGTTGTGGGGCCAATCTAGCGTTTTTAGGATTCGTGTGAGCGGGACAGGGAGAGAGAGAGAGAGAGAGAGAGAGAGCGAGCGAGACACAGAGAGAGACAGAGGGAGAGACAGAGAGAGAGACAGAGAGAGACAGCGAGAGAGAGAGAGAGAGAGAAACAGAGAGAGAGAGAGAGAGAGACAGAGACAGAGACAGAGACAGAGACAGAGACAGAGATGGAGACAGAGAGAGACAGAGAGAGACAGAGAGAGACACAGAGAGAGAGAGAGAGAGAGAGAGTGAGAGAGACAGAGGGACAGGAGACAGAGAGACAGCGAGACACAGAGACGGAGAGACAGACAGACATAGAGCCAGAGAGACGAAGAGGCAGAGAGACAAAAAGACGGAGAGGCAGAGAGACAGAGAGATAGAGGGGGAAAGACAGCGAGAGGGCGGCTGAAGGGGAGAGAGAGCGAGCGAGCGCCTGTCCATTCAGAGAGACAGCCAGAGAAATCGAGAGAGAGAGAGAGAGCGAGAGAAAGAGAGGGAGATAGAGAGAGAGTGTGTGTGTGTGTGTGTCTGTGTTTTTGTGTGTGTATGTGTGTGTGTGTGTGTGCGTGTATGTACCAAGACAAAGACATGAAGAAAACACAAGAAGCAGACTTAGAAGGCGCCTCACCTAAACCCCTCCTCTGGTCCTTCCAGCCATGAAACCTTTAATGCTGAAAGTATTGTCCCACACATGAATGCATACAGGCATGCATACCTCTATACATGAGCCAAAAACAGCCCGACATGCCCTGAACACTTGAAACCCCTCACTCCCTGTCATGGTGTCTCGGATACACACACACATATATATATATATATATACATATATGTATACACATGTATATATATGGATACATATGTGTTTATATATAAAACATTCACAAACAAATACATATGTGTGTATTTATATATGTACAGAAACACTTCTGATATCTGATTACAGCAAAGCTTTAACCTGTGCAAAAGCCCTTATGAACCATCCCAGAACTCATTGACTAATCAACACCCCAGACTAGACCGGCAACTGAGCTTCTGGGACTTAGCTCGGCTCAACCGATGCCTTCGCCGTGAAGCCTGGACCTAGCTTAGGAAACGGGGAGATTTCTGTGGGCGAGGGTTTGGGATTAGTTTTCAGAGCTCACGGCTTCACTTTTTAGAGCTTTAGCAGTTTACCGCCTGAATCGGATTGCGAATCGCATTTGAGGTGTTTGCGCGAGGCATGAATAAGGGTTTAGGGTTTGGGGTTTAAGGTCGTGCTTTCCTGAATTGGGATTTTTTGGAATCGCAGTTAAGCTTTGAACCCTAAGGCTTTCAACATTCCAGCTCTGAACCGCCAGATCCCTGAGCCTTGAAACCGGAAACTCTTACACCTAAACCCCTGAAGCCCTACACCCTACATTGAAAACCTGAGCCTTGAAACCTTACTGAAGAAACAGAGCACAAACTCGAAACCTCGGTCCTGCGGTGACGGCCTTCGGCTGGTATGAGAGCAACCCTTACAAACCCTAAACCCTAAAACCCCTACACCCTCAAAATATTCTAGCCTTTCTTGAGACCATGGACCATGGACGGAGCTTGTATGGGAGTTTCCGAAAATTAGGGGATGCCTTTTGGGGTGCTTATAATGAGGATCCTACTATTTGGGTTCTATATTAGGGTCCCCTATTCTTGGAAACTCCCATTCAACAACTACGAACCCATCAACTCCACACACTTTTGCATGGTCCCAACATTGCTATTCAAAAGGTCTGGAAGCTCCTATTAAAAAGCAAAACAAAAGAAACCAGTTTAAGGAACTACAAAACACCAACAAACCCTATAAGACCCCTAAACTCAAAACCCTAAGTGCCTATTCTTTGTATTCCAAGTATGAATTATAATGCAATAGTATTATTACAGCAGTAATCAACAGTAGTGGCAACAATTTTTAGTAGCAATAGCAATAATCATAAAACTAAAAAGTTAAGAATAAGAAGAATAACAATAATAATAACATAACTACATTGCACCATCTCTCGCCGGCATCTCAGCCCGAGACCCGTCCCCTTCGGCCTTGTGGGCGGCTTGCTTAGGGTCTCGGGTTTCAGAAGAGGTGTGCTTCTACTACTACTAACAGTAGGCGTAATACTAGTCTTACTCTTCTTCGTACTATTACTATTACGAATATTATTCCTGCCGTTATTGCTATGACTATGAGAATCTGTTACAAGTAGTGCTACCATTACTACTATGTGTGTGTGTGTACTTTAACTGCTATTGATTAATACTGCGGTTGTTATACTTTGGTACATTTTGCATTAGAAAATAAAACTATACAGTCTACAGGGAGGAGCAGGAATTCTTGGGTCTTAATGCTGAGGGGCTTACGGCTTATAGGATTACGGGCTCAGGGCTTTGCATTTGAGGTTGAGGGCGTGGGGCTTGGGGCCAAGGGTATAGGCTTTTCTTGCCTGCTTTTTAGGTATTGAGGATTGTCGTTGAAGTCTGCTACTGTTCAAGTCTGAAGAACTAAGACTTCAGGAACAGGATGTCCCAAACCAAAAACCCAACATGCTGGGGCTTTCGTCTTGGGTTTACCATATATAGACGTTAAGAGAAGCCCTAAGCCTATTTAAAAATATAAAGAGGCTTAAATTGGGGGATGCAGGTTGGAGCCCTGCGGCCGCGAAGCTCCAGACCTCTCTTGAACTTGCTGCCGGTGCTATGCCAGGGACCCGTTACCGGGGACTTTCGGCGGAGAAATCCAGTTCTGCACTTGTGAACCGGAAATCCTCGAATGCAAGCAGGAAGCTGCCTGAAGCTCTGAACATTATAAGGTAAAAAGTCTCAACGTTGACGTGTAAAGTTTACACCTTGAACCATGTAGCGCCCGACAGCGACATCGTTCGTGTTTACGGCCGGTGTAGGGTTGAGGGTTAGGTTAGGGGTTGAGGGTTTAGGGTTTCAGGGCTTACGGCATTTAAGGTTTAGGGTAGAGGAATCTCCCACATCTGCTCAATGAGGCCCCTAGTATCCCCAGTATCTTGTCTTAAAGAGCTCACATTCTCAAGAGCCTAGTGTCTTCGGGCCTGATGTACTAGCCCTAACACCTCAACCTCAACACGCCTAGAAACCCCTACCACAAATACTGTGGCACCTTTTACGAAATCGTTTCGACACAAAAACTGTTAGCAACCCTACAGGTCCAAGACAACCCTAGTATACCCCAGTGTCATGGAGGGCGGCCAAGTTGCTGCCCTGTGTGCCCTTCCGGCGGCGGCGGCGGCGGCGGCGGTGGAAATGGAAACTGCTGAGCCTGAAGCTCCAAATGCGGAAGTGACACAGAACATCACGCATTCATTATTTCGATCCCTTGGTATGTGTGTGTGTGTGTGCACTCGTATACACATATATATATATACATATATATATATATATACATATATATATATACATATGTATGCGCAAATGTATATGTACATATATGCATACATGTGCTTAAAATATACTGCACGTACAAACGATTACAGACGTACATGTACAAATAAAACGTATCATACTCTGATGCCTGCATATCTGCTACTGTACAAAGCAGCTCTAATATAAACAGCGAAGAGAACTGCAGAAGGCGAAGACCGGTGCGACAAACAGCGGACGGCTCGAGTGTCTGGGTAAACTGTGCAGCATACCCGAGACCTGCTTGCTTCTCAGAGAGCCCAAAACCCCCTGCAGAAAGGAGTTTGCCTTAATCTTCTGAGAGTGTTGGGTCTATATGCCCTGATCACAACCTTCATAGTAATCTATGAGGCTCTGCAATATTGTAACACGATAATACTATAATACGTTTACCCTATAAGACTATAGCACTTTCGCATAAAATACTTTAACACTATAGCACTGCAACACTAAAACACTGTCACACTGTAACATCATGATACTATAACAGTATCGTATATCTGCATAATACTCTGATACTTCAAAGCTCTGACTTAAAGGATCAGAATAGTATAATACTTCAATGCTACAATACCATAATAGTTACTGTTACTAGAATACTAGAATACTATCTGATAACTCTAACACGTACAGCACTGAATTCAGGGATCTTGGGCTCCCCGGGGTTCTGAGAACCGCACCGAATTGCCCGGGGGGGCGGCTCCTCGGGATTTCATCTTCTCTACCACCTGGGCTGTGCAAACTTGGGCCTAGGGTGTTCGGTTTAGGGTCTGGGTTTAGGGTTTTCAGGTTGTGGTTGTTTGCTGCTGTGATTTTTGCTTTTGTGTTCAATGTGCTTGGAACTGCTTAGAGCCTTTGGGGCTGCTTTGATTTTCCTGTGTGGCGTCTGGGGTATGGGATGTCAAGGCTTTTAGAGCTGAGGCTCTTCTGGCGTTGATCATGGTCGAACTGCTAGTCAGTATTCCTATGACAACCTTAGAGTGTGTTGCAGGGCTGTAGGAGGTGTTTATAGTGGCTTAGGCTTTATGTGACTTCGCAAGTCGGCTATGTTCGGTGCTGTGAGAACCGTCTCTGTGGGGGGCACCCTACCCAGTCCCTGAGCCTGTAAACCGCTGACTCCACCGCAATCACGGCTCACAAAAAGACCTTATCGACCTTCGCCACCAGTTAGGAACAAGCTTGTATCGGCTCCTGTTGGAATAGACGGTAAAGTCACATTTGGAATCCTTCGTAAGTTGAGTGGGGGCTTTTGGAGACTCTGGGTATTCGCGGACCCATTAAGGCCTGCACTATCTTCACCGCCTGCGCAGATGGCAGAAGAAGCTAACTTTAGCCCCTGCGCTCTCGAGCTGAGTTTTAGGCTTTCGGGCTTGAGATTCAGGACTCAACTTACAGGGCCCGCTCATCACTGGTAAGGACCGGAACTGCCACTGTCCCTGTTCAGCTGTTGTGTCGATTGCACCCCCCTCGGGCCCTCTTGCACTCGGATGGATGGGAGTACCTGGAACCAGAGACGTAGACTCTAAACCGCATCGCACCACAAGCCCGTTGATCCGGCTGGCATAACGGAACCGAGCACTACTAACTTAATTTTGAAGAAGTAGGACTGGTCCTTAGTTAACTCACATTGAGGAGGTCGTCTGTCAGGAAACAGCACATGCCACTCTCTTCCAGTACTTTGTGGTGCTAGCTTCACTAACTAACCTTGCAGACAGTAGGGAACCTGGTGCGAGGGTCGACAGTACATAATCAGGGGTTCTGGCATCTCGGGATAGTACAACCTTTAGAATGCGCCAGCCTCTGGCGTCACGTGAATGACATCATTGCCGTTTTCATCCTGGCATTTCACTGTTCAGGGAGGGTTTAGGGTTGAGGGCTACCCCAACAGCCTGCCTTCCTGAATATGAATACGGCTTGTAGGTCGACACCTGAAGGGCGAGGCCCCCAAAGCCTCTAGGCGAAAGCCCTCCACACAAAGCCCTAAACTCCTCAGCCCCACTCCTAAACCCGAAACCCCATGTACTCCGTGCAAAAAATTCCCTATCCCAGCCCACATAAGCCCCAAAAGTCCTGGTGAATCTCAATCTCTCCACCGATCCGTTTCTCCATCCAGTCTGCCAGAGGAACCTCGGAAAGTGCTTCCTGCTCTTGGCGCATGAGGGTTTAGGGCTTAGGGTTCGGGGTTTAGGGTTTGGGGTGTAAGGTTTTGGGGTTTAGGGCTTGGGGCCTGTACTTGAAGTTCACCTCTTGGACACTTAGCAGTCAAAGGCTACGTGGTCGACGACTAAGCGAGGGCAAGAGCTTGTACTAGGAATGACATTATAAGGGGGGTCCGGGGGAGGTGTAAGGGTTCCAGAATGTAGGGTCTAAAACTTAAAGCTGTAAGGTGTTGGGTAGTCCCCAGACCGGTGGTCTGCGGAGCCCGAAGGCTACAGGCTACGACTGAGAAATTCTAAACCCTAAACCCTAAATTTTTCAAAAACGAAATCAAAAGCCCAAGCCGCGGACCGCTGCAGGCAGCAAGGCCCGAGCGCAAGTCTGCACCCGAGCATCTGCGCCTCGTAGTGCGGAGGTTCAGGACTGAGGGCGGGTAGTCGTAGGATCCTTAATATTTAGAGTATATAGGGTTTTGGGAGTTCCTTATTAATACTGTTTTGGGTAGAAGTAGGGGCCTTACTAATTAGAATAGGGTTTTGGGAGCTCCTTATTATTATACTTATGGTAGACTATACCCCTATACTAGTCGTACGGTGTATGGCCAAGTAAGGGGGCCAAACCAAAGCCCCTCTGAGCCTGTCTCAGGCAGTTGCATTGGAAGGTGTGGCCACCATGGTCTCGGTATACACATCCCGAACCGTAAAGGCCCCCAATGTTGAACCAAGCATGCTGTGCCACGGCCCCCCCCCCGAAGTGAAGAGCACCTCACAGTCCATTCCCAATATGAAGCCCAATTCCTTATCAAGCGCTATAAACCAAAACCTCTGAGGACACCCATGTGAACAAAAACAAGACGAAGCCATCTGAGCCTCGGACCTAGCTCAGAAACCCTGCACCCTCCACCCCGAACCTGTAAAGCACCAGAAACTCGTCAATCGAATGCCTCTCCTAAGGCCAGAATTTTGCATCCTTCAATCGCAGCCCTATGAAACCTTTTAAACCCCTATCTCCCTCCATATGCGCCCCTCTCACAAAAACACTCCTTGGGCCGCGGGCTCAGCTCGCAGAGCTTGGCTTTCTGAATGCCCTTTTGCCAGCCGGCCAAGAAGTCGAAGATCGAATCGCGCCTGGGGCTTTCTAGACCCAAGGGGGCTAAAGGGGCTAGGGTTTAGAGTTTGGGGTTCAGGGGTTTACTGTAAACCGGCTAGTGGAAGCTGAAGGATTCTAGAAGGGTTCGGTGTTCGGGGGGTCGGGGCTTTAGAGTTTGGGGCTTTGGAGGCTTGGGGTTGAGACGACGCTGCTTCAATAATGCTAGCTCCAAGGTAGCACACAACTGGAGGAAATAGAAGTGTCTTTTGTCAAATGCCTGCGACGGTATGTAGTCCGAGAAGGGTCAGTCACACACAAAACACCCGGAACCCACATGCCATCACAGGTAAAATTTTCCTACGGGCGATAGACACGCAAACCGAATCAAACGATACTATCAGCGATTGCTATTATATGCTGCTCGAAAGGGTCATGCTCACGTGCTTGACCATCGCAAATGCCGTGACGGTTGAGTGTAGACATGCCATGTTCTCTTCTTGCGCCCCTTGACGGCTGACGTAAGGCTCTGACAAGTTTTCCTCCTCTTTTGAGAAGCTTTCTTCGCTCAGGCCCTGGAAAAAAGCAGCCGCCTGCCAGTCAGGGGTTGCCTTTTGCACCAAACTGGGTCTACGAGCCTACGATCCCAACAAGCTGCCTGCAAAAGCGGAGTTGAAAAGGGGTACCCAGAAGTCTTCCCTCCGAAGCCTTTGCAAATTATCCGGAAACCAGCCTGTGGTTCCGAACTAACCAGAGCAAAGAGCTGAAAACTGTGTTACTTGCGGATCAAGTTCGGGCTCTGTTCTAGACTGGCGGGTTTCCAAGTTGTGCCATTGGGGATGTGGGCATGTCCTTGCATTGCGCTCGGCTGGGACTATCAGAGTGTCAGGTTCTTGATGCAGCTTGGTGCGACTCAAAGACTCGGGTTTGGGGTTCTCACACCAGGGTTACACGATAATCGGAGTCCGCAGAGTAGCTCGACACCCCCTAACTGCGCCCAAAACCAATATGACTATGCACGCTGGCCTACATTCATCAACCTGGCTGATGCAAAATGCAACCGTAAACCACTGTAAAACCCTATACCGCGCAAAACCCCTGTCAAACCTAGTACTAATCAGAAAAAGCCATAACTGGCAGGATCAGAATAACCCCTAAACCATATCCCCAAACCCCCAGAACCCTCCCAACGGTACAAAACCCTTGTCGGAGCCTTAAAAGAATGTTCTAACCGCCCCAAAAGAAGCCTTACAGGACCCTTGCACCGAGACTTATCCCGAACCCTAAACCCCACCTGACCCACCAAGGCAAAAATGGCACCCCAAACCCCCGGTTTCTCGGCTCTGATAGAAGCCCTGGCCTCCTCACCTTCGGAGTTGGCGTCACCAGCCTGGTGCAGCCATGGGCAGAATCTACGGTAACCTACAGTGGGAGCCTTGAAAAACTGGGATTGGGCTTTGGGTGCAGACGTTGCTATGCTTGAGGGATCGCATATGTGCTTATGGAGGCTTCTGTGTTAGGGGCCAAGGGTAGAGTTACCAAGGTTATTGCCTGTAATTATTGTGAGAAGGTTTAATAGAAGATTGCAAGAAGTGTTGGTGCTGAAGATTAGGATTTGGATACTAGGGTGTAGAGTGTACAGAGCTTACGGTTCAGGGTCTAGGCAGGGCTCCAAAACAAGACAAGACAGATTTAGTTCGGGCTTCGAAGTTGGGAAGATAGTGCAAGAAAAGTGCGAGGCAGATGGGCGATGCCTCGTGATTCCAACCTCAAACACAAGTCTTCAAAGCTGGAACCCTAGCCCTGAACCCTGGACAACAAGAGCCCTAGACTCTTGAAAGAAGCACCCAGCGTCTCAGCCCATTGATACAAAAACCAGCAGAACCAACCCCAAGCCTGAAACCCTAAAACCACTACAGCCCTCTAATATGGAGGCCTCAATGACAAACACAGTATAGTACCATTACAACAAGGAACCCTAAGGCATGCTGTGACTAACTGTTCCAAGCTCTATATGGACTGCATTGGCAAGCAGGCTCTGAGACCTGGGCTGCGCCGATCAGGGCAATCTCACCTTGGGAGGCTTGGCATTGGGGCCCCAATCATGGGGTCCTGTAAAGGGGTTCTAGAAGGGGTCCATAAGAGTACTATAATGTAGGGGCCTTCATAGTCAGAGTAGGGTTTGTGGGCACGTGATGCTATAATTATAATGAGGAGCCCCTATTACAGGCCTTAATTTGATTCAGGTTTTGGGGTACATGATGCTAGACTAAGAATAAAACACCAAGGAAGACTGTTGCTAGTCAGGGAGGGTTCGTAGCATAAAGATCATGCTTTTTGTTCGTAGCGTCCCTTTTTCTGCAATGCTGACCTCCCACAGAAGAATGTTTGTTTTGATTGTCTATCTTTCTATCCCTCGCTCATTGATATATATATATATATATATATATATATATATATATGTGACCATTTAAAGGTCCCGACTGTAAGTGGGGAAATCGACAGGCTCGTTTGGCGTCGCTGCCGAGCCGCTTGGACAGCAGGGCTTCAGATAGTTACGCGAAGTAAGGTAGTGGTGGCAATACTCAGAACATCTCTGAACCGCCAGAGTCACCATGCCTAAACCTTACACTAGTAACCACCGTCCTTTGCATATGGCCCTCCCCCGACTTTAAGGCCCCCAAAAGCAAATAAGCAAAACTTAGGATAGATATCCCATATAAACCCTCTCATAATGAAGCCCGTTGAGGTAGGGATATCCCTCTAAAGTGCGTATGCTTATGTCCTTTTTGGGGCTCCTAACTCCTGACTAGTTAAACCTTTAGACTAAGGGGCTTTGGGCTGATTCCTTCGATGGTCTTTACTCAACTCTGAGACTGGCGCCTTCTTCTGGGGACCTTGAAATGGGGGAGCCTGACCTAGCGAAGTCCCATGATAGGAGTGAATATGTGTGTGTATATATATATATATATATGTATACACATATAAACAGATATTTGTTTATGTATATATATAATGTATATATACATATATATATATATATATATATATATAAGAGCACATATTTGTGTCTAGTATACAGTACATATTTTTATATAGTATATATGTGAGGTAAAGTATGGGGGCCTTAATAATTAGAATTGGTACAGGGTTATGAAGTCCAACGATCCTGCAAAAGACGCAAGAAACACACTGTAAAGCCCTTACTCGAACTGTGCCGAGACTCACTTGTTGAGGTTGTCCACCGTGCTGTGCAGCTCGCCCCCTAAGCGCCGATCCTGAAGCACCCGAAATCGAGTGGGATGGGGCACTCCAGACATGTGCAGTGAGTAGCAGCAGCTGGGGCAAGCACGATCCATTGCTGCAGCGGGAATCGCCCTCCTATTAAGTCGAGGTCTTTCGCCTTTGCGGCCGCATTGATCAAGACCTCCGGAAGCACACAGGGTCGAGTACTTAGGGTTTAAAGGCGGAGAGTCGGGTCCACATTTTTGGTGCAGGGTCGGAGCCTGTCTGCCTGTCTGTCTGTCTCTGTGCCGCAGGAAAATGAACAAAAACGTGCCTGAGTCGGAGTCTAGGGCTTAAGGTCTGACCCCGCAAAATGGTTTGAGAGTAGAGCTGCGCGAACCCTTCAGGGCACAATCCTGAAGAACGCAGAACTGATCAGACAGCAACCGACAGACCTCCAGAACAAAGTGAGACAACACATCCAAAGCTGACACCAAAACCTTACACATGACTGAACATAGCACTCAAAGCCCCGACCACTGAAACCCTCAACCCTTACACAACAAAACACCACAGCCCAGAAAAGCCACACCCTAAACCCTTCCCGTACAACAACAATCAAGTAACACGTCCGCAAATGTGCCCCAACACCTGCAAGCAAACATCAACACCCGAAGCCCGAAACCCTAAAACCGGAAATCTCCAAAAACAGACCGCAAAGCCCCGCCCACCAACCTCCCTTCAAAAAAATGCTCAACTACAACAACTCAGGGAACCTCTCGGAGCTCGGCTTCGTAGTCTTCGAACCTCAGCAGGTCACGCGCAGTGCTGCAAGGATCTACTGCAGGCGCACCGTTCTCGCACAGTGTCCACAATGTGCGTCAACATTGGAACCAGTCTTCGTTGTTTGGGTTGCCGTACTTGCCATTAACAATTCACCCCTACACTGACCTACAACTTCAAACCCACTATACCTAAGCCGTAGTTTCTAGTGCGGACAGTTTGGTGCTGGTGGTGCTGATGATAGTGCACACCCATGATCTCTGCAACTGCGACTGCCAGTACTGTGGCAGCTACGACTGCTTCTGCACTGACATAGCTTACCAGTTACTAGTCCCTGCACCAGCGAAAGCACCGGCCGGCAGCACTAGCAGCAGCAGCAGCAGCAGCAGCGCCTCCACCACACCTCTACCACGACCCCAACTGCGACCACGACTACGGCGAAGAAGACGACGACGACTATACCACTACTGCCCTACTGCCGCGGTTGATCTTTGTTTAAAGCATCGCTTTGCTGCTGCTACTGTTGCAATTATTTCTGGGCTCCTGTTCTTTAGTTTACATTACCGCCGTAGGGATGTATTGAATGGTCTCGATGTGAGTTGCCTACAATGGCAAGAACAACGTCCCTGACGAGGACCCAGACTACTGGCAACGTCTCGCTCGTGTCTGTTCTACGAGGAATCCCTGAACCTGAACCCGTAAAAGTTGAAGCCCATCCCACCACACCCTACTACACTGTGCTTCTGTCTCCTCCACGAAGGTGAAACCCTAAACACCCCAAATGCTATGCATTCTACTACACCACCCTTTTTCAATAAGAAAATCTCCCACCCCCGCAGGCCCCGGGATGAAAAACCAAACGAAACTGCAGCCTAAACCCTGAAACCTACTAAGTCCGTTGACCCTGACACCCTCAAGCCCTATAAACAAAAACGACGATAAGAATCTCTCAAACTCGATATGCCCCCTTATAACCAAACATGGCTTGAAAAGCCGTAATGTAGGGCCTTAATAATTAGAACAGGGTTTTGGGGTATCATATAATGTACTTATAACTTCTAATAAGGAACCCCCCAAACAGTATTGGTAAGTATTGAAGCCCCTCTATTATAGTACCCTTACAGACCCCTTATAGCAACCCTTATAGTCCCCGTTAAAGGAACCCCTAGGACCCCCATAGTATATTGGGAATCATTGTCCATACCCCCCTTAGAACCACAATAAAAACAATCTTGCTTCGTGTTCTCTTGGGTTTTCTATGAACAAGAGTAAAACTAAAGCAATTCCTAAGGAGACAATAGTTAGTCTTAAACATTAGTGATAAAGCCCCCAAAGGTTAAAGCCCTGAAACCTCAGGCCACAGCTCCTCAGCGGGCAGTGAAGCGAAGAAGTCATCCACACTTCTCATTGCTAAGCCCTAGGTCCTACGTCGGGTACTGCCCCATACAGTAACAGTCTACTGGATTTTTTAAGTAACCAGGGAGAAAAAAGTGTAAGCTTGTATTTCATACGGGTTCCTCTAAGACAAAAAAGTATTAAAGTGTGGTACTCCAAAGCCCAGTCTATAATGGATAACATATCTAAATTATGAATATTGAAAGTCCTATGTCCTGTCGACCCTAAGCTCTGTAAAGCCCTATTTTGCGCTGGAATTCATCATAGGGAACCCAAGAAAGTCTTCGGAAAGGTCCTGGGATTTTGGGGTTGCCCAGGTGGCTAAGGTTTGAGCTCTTGTATTTTACTTAAGAATTCAGGCTGTAGGATCTTGAAGCCCTAGACCCTAAGCCCCAAAACCTACACTCTAAACCCCAAACCCAGGGTGTCGAGCTTCATGGTTCATGATATGGAGGTTCAGAGTGTAGAGCTACCTGACTTGGGCCAACCTCGCAGCTGAACGGGCGAGCTTGTTAGGCTCGGCGGGTTTCTTTGAGAGTTACCAAAAGGGTTTAGGGTAGAGGGTTTGGGTCTGAGAATTTAGGGTTTCGGATTAAGAACTCAGGGCCTTACAAAGCGCCCTTACTATTGATTTTTCCTAGAACCTACGAAACGTTCTGTAATGGAGTCTCTGACTTAATCCTTGCCACGGTCTTTGATATCACCGTCAAAACAACCATCGTGACGATCATCCAGAATCCACGAACCCTAACTCCCAGAACCCCACACCCCAAACCCTCCCCCCAAACCCTTAAAAACACCCCGTATAGTAACCGTCAAAGGAACCCTTACCCTTCGTCGGCTTTTTCCTCCCCAGGTTCTTGTAACCGTCCGTCTTCATGAGCTGGCCCCGAGCTCTTCTGAGAGGCTAAAAGAGTTTGCGTCTGCCGGCCGCCGTCCGACCAAAAAGCCAGGTCAACAGTCCCTTTGTCCATTATATGAGGTCTCTATCAGGGAGCGAAAAGAACAGTGCCTTATGGTCTTTGTTGTGGTGTTTCTGGATTTCTGGCTTTCTGTCGGTTCTGTTGGAAGGCTTTCGGGCTCAGGTTCAGTAGGGGGTATTCGTAGGCTGATGGCGTCCTTCAAGGGGCTTGGTCCTGTGGAAAGGGTTCTATTGAAGGGGTTTCGGTCTGGGATTCAAAGTTGCGGGTTTATAGTACCAGTGCCTCAACCATTACAATACTATTACTGCATAATCCCCAAAACCCTGCTTGTCCCTATACGGTGTCTGTGTAGAAGGTTGCACGAGTCTATCCAGAAGGATCTTATACAAGATCTGTGGTGTGCTATAGGGATGTACAGGTGAGTTTGAGATTTGGCGGTGTTAAGGGCTGTGGATTCAATGTTTCGAGCTGAAGATCGCATCTGACTTCTTCAACACGGCGGTTCCGGACAATCGGGGTTTAGGGTTTAAGGTTTAGGGACCCTAAACCGTAAACCCTGCCGAAATAGAACACCTCAAAACGAAGAGAAGGATCCCAAACAGAACCCCTACCTGCTCCCTGGAAAAGGGACCCGCCAGTTTTCAGCCATCACAAATAACTATAACCGAACAGGAAATCTAAATCCCTGCTCGGAAGATACGTTGGGACTTAAACTAAACCGCGTTGAAAAACAAGTGGAAAAGCAACACATAGGCAAGGGCGGAAGCGGGACTATGGCACACGCAGATGCCTTGCAGGTTCGCTTTGGCAAGTTGTGCAACCCTATGCACAAAGGTTCGATAAGACCGAAAAGGATCCTCCGAATCCCAAACCATAAAGCCCAAACCACTAAACGCTACAGCTTTGCAGGCCCATGGCCTGAAGAGGTCAAGCCAAAGCTGTTCCTGACCCTACTGGAGCTATTCGCTCCAATTTCATCTACCACTTCTAAAAAGTCACAGAATTGGCCAATCCGAGTACGCTGCCTCGTCCCAGGAGGCGAGAAGCCGGCATTCCCAAGCCGGAATACGGATTCATGGTTTAGAGTTTACAAAGGGTTTCGTACGTTTCAGCACTAGCAATGAGATCTCTCCACTCACGACGAGCACCCGATGCAAAGTACTCATGATTGTGTTGTCAGAAGCGGTGCTCTGACACCTGCTGTCATAAGCAGTTGCTCTGACTCCCTACTGCCCGCAAATTTGCTCATGCTCTGCGGCCGAGCTTGGATGTCGAAACCACTGAGAGGCTTTTCAGCTCTGCTGGCGCTTTGCGTTCAACGGGGCTTTGCTCTGCAACGCACCCTAAACCCTAAACCCTAAACCGCGGGCGTTTCTGCAGTATCTTTGGCACCAGCAGCAACTCCTCACAGTTGTGGAACGATAAAGTAAAGCTAAGGAGGCTACTATAGGGGCCTCAATACTTACCAAGATGATTCCTCAGGAGGGTCTTAATAATCTTAATAGTCATAACGCAGTGTACCCCAACACCCTACTCTAACCATTGAGGCCCCTATACTAAACTAAACTAAACTAAAATTTCTCAAATCCGCACCGTCCTGCTGGACATTTCTCTTGCCAGCACCGGCTCCGCAGATTGGGCTTTTGGTGCATTGGGCTTGATCAGCTTCATCCTGGGCATTGTTTCGAACACAAGACGGGGGCTGGGGGGGGGGGGGGGGGGGGGGGGCTGAAGGTTGAAGGCTTGAGAGGGGCGTGAAGGGAGGCTTGAGAAGGGGGGGTGCTTCTCAAGGACTCCAAGCTACAAGCAGTGTTGTATTGGACTGTTACTGGCATGCTCCGGTGGAAAGGAGCCCAGGACCTGAAAGCATGTTACAGCGCCGCAAGCCACTCTAAAGGTCAGCACGACAGGATGCCACTTGAGGGTTTACAGACGCCTGCGAATACACAAGTCTTGCAGCACCGACCTCTCCGAGATCAAAACAAGCGAAAAAAGGCAGAGACACCTGTCACCCCAGTGATCCTTGCCGGACTCCCAAGGAAACAAAAAGCCTGGAACCAAGGCCGGCTTGCTCCCCGGCAAGTCCGGGCGACCGACATTTGTGCCAACTTCAAGGAGTCTGCTTGCAGCACCTTCATATCAGGCGGTAGCAGCAGCATGACCGAAGCCATGAATCAATTGGCTTTGGAGATCAGGTATTCCCAGTATCTGTATTTCAGGACCGCGCACATTGCCAGCATTATCTATCGTCCTGCGCATCGCCGTCGTCGCCCTCCTCGTCGTCATCATCGTCTAGGCTTCTCCACCGACAGTAGCATCGAAACGTCGTACCCTTTCTCATCGTCACCTTCGTCTTCATCACTAGCATCACGACGACCCTTACCGTCAGCATCAACGTCACTATCAGCCAGGTCATCTCAGATCACCAAACATCACCGCCGCCACCACCATCACAACCATCACCACCTGGATGTCCTCATAATCTCATCACCTCTATCACCCGCATCCTCAGCAAAAACCATTGTCCTGATCCTCATGACAGACAGCGTCATCGGAACTACCCGTATCACCATTACATCCGAGTGTGCCTTCCCATGTAAGGTGTAGCATCTTGGGACGTGACAGAAACTTGCAAATAAAGGCTATGTTGGAAGCATGCGGAGATAATCGTGTTCACAGCGATATTGTCATTCGCATCATCTGCCTCATCCTGATCCCCGTCCACATTCTCCCCATCTGCTTTTAATTAAAACCAGCTTGTGATTCTCACCGTCCGCAACACAGCAGCACCGCAGCAGCAGCAAGTACGACGACAACAGTTGCGGCATTGACAGCAGTAAAGCAGCCGCAGCCGCCCCAGTGAGTCTGCTGGCAGGGGCAACTCGCAGCAGAAGCAGCATTGCGTTTAGTTTAGGGTTTAGGGTCAAGATCGTCAGCTCTCAATAAAGCTCGACGTCAACATCGTCTCCATACCTATCTGCACTGCCGAAACAAGTCGTTGCTCAGACCAACTTCACGCTTATCCACACAAGGAGCGTATTCTTGTGAGACCTGTACATGATTTCAATGCATGAATCACCATGGTCATTTTTCAACTCGAACTCACATTGTCTGGGTAACTGTCGAAACTCTCGTCTTCATGGCGTCTTTTGCAGGATGCGGCTCACTCGTAGTCCTTTCTGGATAAGGGGGCTTTAGACCTTGCTTCTATTTATTTCCAAGACTCTATCAATCAGGCAGGCACAGGGGGGGTCGGATACTGGTACCACTCTGCACACACCCTGGGCCCGAACCGTGTACACAGAATCATATCAACAGCCCCAGTTCAGGCCTCTCGTGAACAGCATGTAGCCGCGGTGAGGCACCTGAAGCACAGAAGCCCCAAGCCCGAGGTCCCAAACCGCAGTTCCAATTTTTGTCTTCACCAAAACAGGCTAGAAAACAGTAGTTCCTCATACAAGACTGGCTATAAGAAATCCCAAAAGCCTGGATCCTGATTTGCTAGAAACCCTGAACCTGAAGCAGGGACTGTCGACCACAAGCCCTAAATCCCCGAAGCCCTTATCCGCTAAGCCTCTAGCCGAGACCCTATAAAATCTAAACCCCTCCATTAGACTATAATGATAATAAGGAACCCCAAAATAGTATAGGTAATTTTGGAATCCCTACATTATTCCCGGAATCCCCTCCCCTAAACCCTGAGCCGAGAGAAGTGCTGCAGAAACCAGGGAAGCTTGTCATCCGCCAACTCGGAGCTGGGCAAGCCTTAGGCTCGCGAGGCTTCAAGTAATGTAGGTGCCTTAATAATTAGAATGGGGGGTTCGATTCAAAGGGGGGGCCTATAAGGGTTACTATAAGGGATCTTTAAGGTTACTACAATAAGGGACCTTAATAATTGGAATAGGGTTTTGGGGTATACTATACTCTAATCATAGTACGGAACCCCCAAAATCTTATTCGAATTATCAAGGCCCCTACCGTAAGGTTTGGGATTCGTTGGGATTTAGGGTTTAGTGAGATTTCGTGTTTGGGGTTAGGGTTTGGGGGGGTGTAGGCCCCGTGGGGGGTAGGGGCTTAGGGTTTAGGGTTT